TTTCACCCCAAAAACTTAGTTGGACATCCGAATCAGGTTGATTCGACTCTAAAGGGGACTTCCGACTCGCGAATTCACTTCGGAACCCCGTACGGAAGTCTGAAATGTCCGACTTTGGTTCTGAATTCCGCAACTTCCGAAAGAAATCACCCATGCCTAGTATTGTTGCCATGGATTCGGATCTAGAGGATGAGTTGAGTAGGGCCATATTTGAGTGTTGGACTTTGGGGAAGTCTGGGTTCGAACTCCAACTTAGCCATGGAAACACTTGGCTGGGGGGTTGACTGGAAATCCCTTTTAGTCTCTTCCAACTCTAGGAATCAAAGGACGTTTAGTATAATGCCAAGTTTGTGTTTTTAAATACATTACAACTGTATCCTCGGTTCGATCCTGATACGATAAATAAACAAACTAATCCTTGTAGTTTGAATGTTGAGCAGTGGATTCAAGTTCCAACAAAGGATTCGGGTTCAAACTCTTGCGTGGGTATCCTTTGGATCATACGTTTGGGAAAGTCACACTCTCGGTCTCAAAGAAGGCAACAGCAAACCCCTTCTTTTGTGAAAGTTGTGTGGAAAAGTTGTCTTGTACCCCCCCCACCCCCCATCCAAATGTTGTCTCACCCCACTCTCTCCTTTCTGATGAAGAAGTAGGGCAATCGGTGGAGAGAAATTGGTTACCGGCTTTTTTCGAACGCGAGCCGGGTTCTCTACCTTCCAGGAAACCCCAACAGGAAAAGCAAGCCATTGTTTCTTTTTGGTCCCTTGCTAAAAATGTCCTCCTCATACATCTGCCTCGGGTGGGGAGATGCCACCTGCGATTGCTTTGGGGGCAGTCGCGGAGAGTTGCCCCCAAACCCACAGCTGCGCCATCCCCAAACGGCACGGCTCCCTGATGCGAAAGGCAGCGGCTTTGAGATAAGAAAACCCACCTGCAGAAACAGAGAGAGGGCTGCGTTCGACGTTAGGATCAACGCCCCACATTCGGGTTGCACTCCTTGGCCAAAAGGAAAGTGTTGCGGTTGAGAGCGAATCCCAATAAAAGCCCATGGGGGTCCAGATTGGGGCAACCTGTTGTCTATTTATGGTCTGGTGATGATGGGCAACCTGTGGATGGTGTAGATCAAGGGAGGGACAATCTGAGTATGGTGGGCAACCTGTGGATGGTGTAGATCAAGGGAGGGACAATCTGTGGATGGTAAACAACATGAAGATATTGGGCAATCTGTGGATGGTGTAGACCAAGGGGTGCACAACCTGTGGATGGTGGACAGTCCGAACCTGTGGATGGTGTCGACAACCTGTGGATGGTGTCGACCAAAGGGTGCATAACCTGTGTATGGTGGGCAAACTGTGGATGGTGTAGACCAAGTCGTGGACAATCTGGTGATGGTGGGAAACCTGTGAGTTGTGTAGATCAAGGGGGGGGGCAATCTGAGTATGGTGGGCAACCTGTAGATGGTGTAGACAAAGGGATACACAAACTGTGGATGGTAAACAACCTGAGGATAGTGGGAAACCTGTGGATGGTGGACAACCTGAAGATGGTGGGCAACCTGTATGTGGTGTAGACCAAGGGGTGGACACCCTCAGAATGGTGGGCAACCTATGGATAGTGTAGACCAAGGGGTGCACAATGTGAAGATGGTGGGCAACCCGTGGAAGGTGTAGACCAAGGGGTGGACAACTTGAAGATAGTGGGCAACCTATGGAAGGTGTAGATCAAGGGGTGGACAACATGAGGATGGTGGGCAACCTGTGGATGGTGTAGACCAAGGGGTGCATTACCTGTGGATGGTGGACAACCTAAAGATGGTGGGCAACTTATGGAATGTGTAGACCAAGGAGTGGACAATCTCAGGATGGTGGGCAATCTGTGGATGGTGTACACCAAAGGGCACACAACCTATGGATGGTGTAGACCAAGGGGTGCACAACCTGTGGATGGTAGACAACCTGAAGATGGTGGGCACTCTGTGGAAGGTGTAAACCAAGGGGTGCACAAACTGTGGATGGTGGACAATCTGAAGATGGTGGGCAACCTATGGAACGTGTAGACCAAGGGGTGCACAATCTGAGGATAGTGGGCAACCTGTGAATGGTGTAGACCAAGGAGTGAACAATCTCAGGATGGTGGGCAACCAGTGGATGGTGTAGACCAAAGGGCGCACAACCTGTGAATGGTCAACAACCTGAAGATGATGGGCAACCTATAGAAAGTGTAGACCAGGGGTAGGGAACCTTTGGCCCTCCAGCTGTGGTGGACTTCAACTCCCACAATTCCTTGAGGCTCGGCATTCGCCCCAAAGGCTTACCTTGGCCCAATGCAGAGCCTCAAGGAATTGTGGGAGTTGAAGTCCACCACAGCTGGAGGGCCAAAGGTTCCCTACCCCTGGTGTAGACCAATGGGTGGACAACCTGAAGATGGTGGGCAACCTGTGGATGGTGTAGACCAAGGGGTGCACAACGTGTGGATGGTGGACAATCTGAAGATGGTGGGCAACCTGTGGATGGCATAGACCAAGGGGTGGACAATCTAAGATTGGTGGGCAACCAGTAGATGATGTAGACTAAAGGGCACACAAACCATGGAGTGGACAACCTGAGGATAGCATAGGCCAAAGAATGGGTAACCGCGGGATGGTGTGGGCCAACTGGTGGGCAATGTGTTGATAGTACACACCAAGTGGTGAACAATTGTGGATGGCTGAGCAACCTATGGATGGTGGGCAACCTCAGGATGTGGACATAGCCTGTGGATGATGGGCATTCTGAGGGTGCTATAGACCTAGGTGTGGCTAATGGGATGAACGTTTCCTACCAAGGCCTTTTTTGTGGCTTTTTGGTGGGTACACAAAGGGCATTTTGGCCACATTTGGAGAACCTCCATCCCTCCCACTTTCCCAGTGACCCTTTCCATAGGGTTTTCTTGACTCATCTCATTCTGTGGTGCTTTGCAGTCGCCTTCCTCCATGCTGAGCGATTACAGCATGTCCGAACACACTGCAGTCCTTAGGTCTGAAATCCCCGAGCTCTCCCATCCTTGCACTACGTCCTCCTTTGGCACCTCGCCTTTACTCCCCCATCTGTGTTGGGGATTTGTTAGGGATGATGATCTAAAGAGGCAGCGTTATGCAGTCCACCATGTGATGATAATCTCTTGCAAGAAGAGAGGAAGAAGCAGAGGAAGGGCTTAATAGCACGGTTCGGACATCCCATATCTGAAATATATAGCATCAGAAGGACGCCGTATTTTGGACTTTGGAATACCTGCATGTCCATCAGAAGATATCTTGGAGATGGGTCCCATAGGATATGCAGGATGTATTTTCATTCACTGGAGTAAATTTGGCATAAGTACCCGATACGCCCAAATTTGAATACTAGGGGGGAGGTTGTGGGGGGATTGATTTTGCCATTTGGGAGTTGTAGTTGCTGGGATTTATAGTTCACCTACAATCAAACAGCATTCTGAACTCCACCAATAATTGTAATTGAACCAATCCTGGCACACAGAACTCCCATGACCAATAGAAAATATTGGAAGGGTTTGGTGTGCATTGATCCTGAGTTTGGGAGTTGTAGTTCACCTACATCCAGAGAGCACCGTGGACTCAAACAATGATGGATCTGAACCAAACTTGGCACGTATACTCAGTATGCCCAAAAGTGAACACTGGTGGAGTTTGGGGGAATTAGTCCTTGACATTTGGGCGTTGTAGTTCCTGGGATGTATAGTTCACCTACATCAAAGAGCATTCTGAACTCCACTAGCAATAGAATTTAACCAATCTTGGTACACAGAACTCCCATGACCAATAGAAAATATTGGACGGGTTTGGTGGGCATTGACCTTGAGTTTTGGAGTTGTAGTTCACCTACATCCAGAGAGCACTGTGGACTCAAACGACTATGAATCTGGACCAAACTTGGCACGAATACTCAATATGTCCAAGTGTGAACACTGGTGGAGTTTGGGGGAAATAGAGCTTGACATTTGGCAGTTGTAGTTGCTGGGATTTATAGTTCACCTACAATAAAAGAGCATTCTGAACTCCACTAATAATTGGAATTCAACCAATCTTGGCACACAGAACTCCCATGAACAATAGAAAATATTGGAAGAGTTTGGTGTGCATTGACCCTGAGTTTGGGAGTTGTAGTTCACCTACATCCAGAGAGCACTGTGGACTCAAACGACTATGAATCTGGACCAAACTTGGCATGAATACTCAATATGTCCAAATGTGAACACTGGTGGATTTTGGAAGAAATAGACCTTGACATTTGGGAGTCGTGGTTGTTGGGATTTATAGTTCACCTTGAATCCCACCAACAATAGAATTGGACCAAACTTCCCACACAGAACCCCTATGACCAACAGAAAATACTGTGTTTTCTGATGGTCTTTGGCAACCCCCCGACACCTCCTTGCAACCCCTCCAGGAGTCGCGACCCCCAGGTTGAGAACCACTGATGTAACAGTTACATCCAATGGAAAATAAAATGCATTTTAAAAATGGAGTGAAATGCAGTTCTACTTGGTATTGTGACAGGTTGTAAAGGAAAGCACTCTGTGCATGCTCAGAGGTATGGAAATGCCTCCTCTGCTTCGGTGTCGGTATTGCCTTTCCTTCTGACACACGGTGCAAGAGTGCCCTCTCGTGGCTCAAACTCCGCATTGCATCTGCGGAGAAAAGGGAAGGAAAGAGCCAAAGCAAATCATCATCTTTTCATTTTTGGCAGATTTGCTCCTCCTGGAGGTTTGTTTTCTCCATTGGTTTCCTTCTCTCATGCAAGAACAAACAATTTCCAAAGTTTTCACCCTGCTGAGCAAGATTACAAAGTTCCTGATGGCTGTCTTTGTCATCTCAAGGAATCAGCTTGTGCCAAAAAAAAGAGAGTCTTTTTGTACAAAAAGTGGGCATTTTGTGCCGGAAGGAACATTTCTAAATGGAGAATTAACGTGTTTGTTCTTCTTCCCTTTCTCCCTCCCTCCAGCCCAAATAGAGGTGATCCCATGCAAGATCTGTGGAGACAAGTCGTCTGGGATCCACTATGGGGTGATCACTTGTGAAGGGTGCAAGGTGAGTCAAAGATCTCCTTCAATCCCTTAGTCCAGTGGCTTCAAAACATTGGTGTTTGGAGCTTCAACTCCCAGAATCCCCAGTCATCTTGGCCAACAATCAGGATCTCTGGGAACTGAAGTCCAAAATGGATGGAGTAGACAAAACAAAAGGTGGACAACCTGTGGAAGGTGCAGTAGTCAAAGAGATGGGCAACCTGTGGATAGTGGAGATCAAGGCGTGAACAAGATATGGATGATGTAGTCCATGGGGTAGAACATCTGTGGATGGTGTAGAACAAAGGATGAATAGTCTGTAAATGGTGTAGACTCTTTGAAGTGTAGACCAAGAGATGAACGACCTGTGGATATTGGAGATCAAGGCATGAACAAGATATGGATGATGTAAATGGTGTAGACTAAGGATTAGACCTTCTTTGGAGTGTAGACCAAGAGATTGACGACCTGTGGATAGTGGAGATCAAGGTGTGCACAAGATATGGATGATGTAGACCATGGGGTAGAGCACCTGTGGATGGTGTAGACCAAAGAATGAACAGTCTGTAAACGGTGTAGACTAAGGATTGGGCCATCTTTGGAGTGTAGACCAAGAGATAGATGAACTGTGGATAGTGGAGATCAAAGCGTGAACAAGATGTGGAAGATATAAACCACTGGTTCTCAATCTGTGGGTCCCCAGATGTTTTGGCCTTCTACTCCCAGAAATTGTAACAGCTGGTAAACTGGTTGGGATTTCTGTGAGTTCTGGATCAAAACACCTGAGAACCCACAGGTTGAGAACTACTGATGTAAACCATGGGGTAGACAACCTGTGGATGGTGTACACCAAAGGATAAACAGTCTGTAAATGGTGTAGACTAAGGATTAGACCATCTTTGAAGTGTAGACCAAGAGATGGACGACCTGTGGATAGTGGAGATCAAGGCGTGCACAAGATATGGATGATGTAGACCATGGGGTAGAACACCTGTGGATGGTGTAGACCAAAGGATGAACAGTTTGTAAATGGTGTAGGCTAAGGATTCGTCTACACCATCTTTGAAGTGTAGACCAAGAGATGGATGACCTGTGGATAGTGGAGATGAAGGCATGAACAAAATATGGATGATGTAGTCCATAGGGTAGAACACCTGTGGTTGGTGTAGACCAAAGGATAAACTGTCTGTAAATGGTGTAGACTAAGGATTAGACCATCTTTGAAGTGTAGACTAAGAGATGGACGACCTGTGGATAGTGGAGATCAAGGCGTGAACAAGATATGGATGATGTAGACCATAGGGTAGAACACCTGTGGACGGTGTAGACCAAAGGATGAACAAAGAGTGTAGACTCTTTGAAGTGTAGACCAAGAGATGGACAACCTGTGGATAGTGGAGATCAAGGCGTGCACAAGATATGGATGATGTAGACCATGGGGTAGAATACCTGTGGATGGTGTTGTCCAAAGGATGAACAGTCTGTAAATGGTGTAGACTCTTTGAAGTGTAGACCAAGAGATGGACAACCTGTGGATAGTGGAGATCAAGGCATGAACAAGATATGTATGATGTACACCATGGGGTAGAACACCTGTGGATGGTGTAGACCCAAGGATGAACAGTCTGTAAATGGTGTAGACTCTTTGAAGTGTAGACCAAGAGATGGACGACCTGTGGATAGTGGAGATCAAGACATGAACAAGATATGGATGATGTAGTCCATGGGGTAGAACACCTGTGGATGGTGTAGAACAGTGTTTCTCAACTTTCCTAATGCCGCGACCCCTTAACACAGTTCCTCATGTTGTGGTGACCCCCAAGCAAAAAATTATTGTTATTGCTACTTCATATCTGCAACTTTGCTACTGTTATTATGTAAATATCTGATATGCAGGATGTATTTTCATCACTGGACCAAATTTGAATACTGGTGGGGTTGGGGGGATTAATTTTGTCATTTGGGAGTTGTAGTTGCTGAGATTTATAGTTCACCTACAATCAAAGAAAATTCTGAACTCCACCAACGATGGAACTGAACCAAATTTGGCACATGGAACTCCCAGGACCATCGGAAAACACTGGTTTAGCAGGCATTGAACTTGAGTTAGGGAGTTGTAGTTCACCTACATCCAGAGAGCACTGTGGCCTCAAACAATGATGGATCTGGATCAAACTTGGCATGAATACTCAATATGCCCAAATGTGAACACAGATGGAGTTTGGTGAAAATAGTCCTTGACATTTGGGAGTTGTAGTTGCTGGGATTTATAGTTCACCTATAATCAAGGGAATTATGAACCGCACCAGGAAGTGGGTGAAACTTCCCACACAGAACCCCCATGACCAACAGAAAATGTTGTGTTTTCTGATGGTCTTTGGCGACCCCTCTAAAACCCCCTCGCGACCCCTCCAGGGGTCCCGACCCCCAGGTTGAGAACCACTGGTGTAGAACAAAGGATGAACAGTTTGTAAATGATGTAGACTAAGGATTAGACCATCTTTGAAGTGTAGACCAAGAGATGGACGACCTGTGGATAGTGGAGATCAAGGCGTGAACAAGATGTGGATGATGTAGACCGTGGAGTAGACTGTGGATGGTGTAGCCAGTTTACCAGATGTTAGGATTTCTGGGAGTTGAAGTCCAAATCTGGGGACCTACAGGTTGAGAACCACTGGTGTAGACCAAAGGATAAACAGTCTGTAGACTAAGGATTAGACCATCTCTGGAGTGTGGACTAAGAGCGGACAACCTGTAGCTTGTGTAGATCAAGATGGACAATCTGTGGGTAGTGTAGATCAAGAGGGGAATAATCTGTGGATCGTGTAGATCAAAGACTGGACAAGCTATGGATGGTGTAGACCGGGGTGGAAGGCCTGTAGATGGTAGAGATGAAGCAATTGATGGTGCAGATCAAGGGGTGGGTGGTGTGGACCAGAGTTATCAAACTTGTGGCCCTTCAGATGTTTGGGCCACCAACTCCCAGAAGCCCTAAATAGCTTGTCCAATAGGCAATAATTCTGGGAACTGAAGCCCAAAACATCTGGAGGACCACAAGTTTGTCACCACTGGTGTAGACAAAGATGTGGAGAACCTGAGGATAATGTAGACCAAGAGATGGACAACCGGTGGATGATGTAGACCAAGGGGTGGGACACCTGTGAATGGTGCAGATCAAGCAATGGTGTAGAGACCAAGAGGAGAACAACTGGTGGTTGTCTGTAGGCCAAGGGGCAGAGAAGCTGCGTTTAGTGTAGATCAGGGAGTGGGAACAACCTGTTAGTAGTACAGAATAGGGGTGGGCAAGTTATGGATGGTGCAGTCCAAAACGTACTTGGACTGTAAACAACTAGATGTTTGTTTTCAAACAAACCAGCTGCTTCTTTACAGTTTCTGCGCAGTGGAAATGTGCTGGGCCCATAACCATAGTAATGAGTTACTCGAGTTAGAGCAGAGAAAGACTCTCAAAGTGAATGAATGGTATTAGAATCAGCGCTTTGGCCACCTAATTACACTGATAGTGTTGTTTTCTTCTCTGTGCCTTTTGCTCCAGGGCTTCTTCCGGCGGAGCCAGCAAGGGAACGTGACATACTCTTGTACCCGGCAGCAGAACTGCCAAATCGACCGTACCAGTCGCAACAGGTGCCAGCACTGCCGTTTGCAGAAATGCCTCAGCCTCGGCATGTCCCGGGACGGTAAGCTTACTAACAAAGGATTTCCTCTCTTCCTCAACAACCTTGGGTGCATCTACGCTGTAGTATAGTATTCCCTCACTACTTCACGGTTCGCTTTTCGCGGACTCGCTGTTTCGCGGTTTTTCAAAAAATATGAATTTTAAATATACTAGTAGCGAGGAAACACTGTACACCCGTTACCTGTGGTTGTGGTTGGTTAAAATCTTCCCCTCCAACGCCATATTTCCCCGTGCATCTATGTTGTAGAATTGAGGTACAGTATTCCCTCGCTACTTTGCGGTTCACTTTTCGCAGACTCGCTGATTTGTGGTTTTTCAAAAAATATGAATTTAAAATATACAAATAGCTAGGGAACACTGTATAACCGTTACCTGTGGTCGTGGTTGGTTGAAATCATCTCCTCCAATGCTATGTTTCCCAGTGCATCTATTCTGTAGAATTGATGTACAGTATTCCCACGCTACTTTGCGGTTCGCTTTTCGTGGACTCGCTGTTTCGCGGTTTTTCAAAAAATATTAATTTAAAATATACAAATAGCTATGGAACACTGTATACCCGTTACCTGTGGTTGTGGTTGGTTGAAATCATCCCCTCCGACGCCATGTTTCCCAGTGCATATATGCTGTAGAATTGAGGTACAGTATTCCCTCGCTACTTCGCTGATCGCTTTTCGCAGACTCGCTGTTTCGCTGTTTTTCAAAAAATATTAATTTTAAATATACTAGTAGCAAGGAAACACTGTAAACACATTATCTGTGGTCATGGTTGGTTAAAATCATCCCCTCCAACGCTATGTTTCCTAGTGCAGCCACCAGAAGGGGAAGAGGGCGTGCGCGAGCAGGGAAAGAGGAGAGGAGGGGGAACCAGGCAGGTGAGGAGGAGCCAGCGGGAAGTGTGGTGTGCAAGGGGAGGGGGGAGGTAGGGAGGAAGGGAGTGGGAAAGAGGAAAAGAAAGAGAAGGTAAAGGGGTTGAGTGAGTGAGAGAGGAGTGGGTGGAGCCATTCCTGGGAGGAAGCAGTCCTGTGCCTTGTGCACACTGAGGCAGTACATACTGTATACTGTATAGCATCCCTACTTCACGGATTTTCACTTATTGCGGGTGGTCCTGGATCGTAACACCCATGATAAGTGAGGGAACACTGTAAGTACATACTGTATAGCGTCCCTACTTCACGGATTTTCACTTATTGCGGGTGGTCCTGGAACGTAACACCCACAATAAGTGAGGGAACACTGTAAGTACATACTGTATACTGTATAGCATCCCTACTTCACGGATTTTCACTTATTGCGGGTGGTCCCGGAGCGTAACACCCGCGATAAGCGAGGGAACACTGTAAGTACATACTGTATACTGTATAGCTTTCCTACTTCATGGATTTTCACTTATTGCGGGTGGTCCTGGATCGTAACACCCGCGATAAGCGAGGGAACACTGTAAGTACATACTGTATACTGTATAGCATCCTTACTTCACGGATTTTCACTTATTGCGGGTGGTCCTGGATCGTAACACCCGTGATAAGTGAGGGAACACTGTAAGTACATACTGTATACTGTATAGCATCCCTACTTCACGGATTTTCACTTATTGAGGGTGGTCCTGGAACGTAACACCCACAATAAGCGAGGGAACACTGTAAGTACATACTGTATACTGTATAGCATCCCTACTTCACAGATTTTCACTTATTGCGGGTGGTCCCGGAGCGTAACACCCGCGATAAGCGAGGGAACACTGTAAGTACATACTGTATACTGTATAGCTTTCCTACTTCATGTATTTTCACTTATCATGGATATTCCTGGAGTGTAACACCCACGACAAGTGAGGGAACACTGTAAGTACATACTGTATACCGTATAGTGTCCCTACTGCACGGATTTTCATTTATCACGGGTGGTCTTGGATCATAACACCCGTGATAAGTGAGAGAACACTGTAAGTACATACTGTATACTGTACAGTATCCCAACTTCACGGATTTTCACTTATCACGGTTGGTCCTAGAGCATAACACCCGTGATAAGTGAGGGAACACTGTAAGTACATACTGTATACTGTATAGTGTCCCTACTGCACGGATTTTCATTTATCACGGGTGGTCTTGGATCATAACACCCGTGATAAGTGAGGGAACCCTGTAAGTACATACTGTATACTGTATAGTGTCCCTACTTCACGGATTTTCACTTAGCGCGGGTGGTCCTGGATCGTAACACTCGCGATAAGCGAGGGAACACTGTAAGTACATACTGTATACTGTACAGCATCCCAACTTCACGGATTTTTACTTATCACGGTTGGTCCTAGAGCATAACACCCGTGATAAGTGAGGGAACACTGTAAGTACATACTGTATACTATATAGTGTCCCTACTTCATGGATTTTCACTTATCGCGGGTGGTCCTGGATCGTAACACCCGCGATAAGTAAGGGAACACTGTAAGTACATACTGTACAGCGTCCCAACTTCACGGATTTTCACTTATCACGGTTGGTCCTAGAGTATAACACCCGTGATAAGTAAGGGAACACTGTAAGTACATACTGTACAGCGTCCCAACTTCACGGATTTTTACTTATCACGGTTGGTCCTAGAGCATAACACCCGTGACAAGTGAGGGAACACTGTAAGTACATACTGTATACTATATAGTGTCCCTACTTCATGGATTTTCACTTATCGCGGGTGGTCCTGGATCGTAACACCCGCGATAAGTAAGGGAACACTGTAAGTACATACTGAATACTGTGTAGCGTCCCTACTGCATGGATTTTCACTTATCACGATAAGTGAGGGAACACTATACTTCGACATCACTTGAATTATCATGGCTCAGTGCTATGGAACCATGAAAGTTGTAATTTTACTAAGCCTGTAGCCTCCTCGGCCAAAGATTGCTGGTTCTATACCAGACTAAAACTCCCTGTATTCCATAGCATTGAGCCATGGTAGTTAAAGTGATGTCAAACTGCATTAATTCTACAGCACGGCTGCACCTCTAGTAGTTTAATATGCCCATCTACTTCCGATTGCTATGGCGATCAAATATCATTGAATGCGTTCTTGCTGGCAATTTATTGCTGATCATCTGTCGATCCCAGTGAGAACAGTGATGTGGAAAAATCTGAATATCTTCTGAATCACACTGTGGGATGCGCTGCCAACCTTACTCCTTGCTCAGAAAAAAAACGTGCCGATTTGGCATTCACATTTCCAACACATATTATTAACTCCTTTATGCATTACAAACCATTTTGGAAATCCCAACCGTACATCTGTCTATACCAGTGTTTCTCAAACTGGGGGTTGGGACCCCTGGGGGGTGGGTCACGAGGGGGTGTCAGAAGGGTCACCAAACAACATCAGAAAACACAGTATTTTCTGGGTTGATGTAAGTTTTCCGGGCTGTCTGGCCATGTTCCAGATTCTTTGTGGGGTTCAGGATGCTCTTTGATTGTAGCTGAACTATAAATCCCATCAACAACAACTCCCAAATGTCAAGGTCTATTTCCCCAAAACTCCACCGGTGTTCATATTTGGGCATATACTCAATCAGTGCCAAGTTTGGTCCAGATCCATCGTTGTTTGAGTCCACAGTGCTCTCTGGATGTAGGTGAACTACAACTCCCAAACTCAAGGTCAGTGCCCACCAAACCCTTCCAAGTATTTTCTGTTTGTTTTAGGAGTTCTGTGATTTGATTCAATTCCCTCATTGGTGGAGTTCAGAATGCTCTTTAATTGTAGGTGAACTATAAATCCCATCAACTACAACTCCCAAATGTCAAGGTCTCTTTCTCCCAAACTCCACCGGTGTTCATATTTGGGCATATACTCAGTCAGTGCCAAGTCTGGTCCAGATCCATCGTTGTTTGAGTCCACAGGGCTCTCTGGATGTAAGTGAACTACAACTCCCAAACTCAAGGTCAGTGCCCACCAAAGCCTTCCAAGTATATTCTATTGGCCATGGAAGTTCTGTGTGCCAAGTTTGGTTCAATTCCATCATTGGTGGAGTCCAGAATGCTCTTTGATTGTAGGTGAACTGTAAATCCCATCAGCTACAACTCCCAAATGTCAAGGTCTCTTTCTCCCAAACTTCATATTCATATATGGGCATATACCCAATCCCTGCCAAGTCTATCATTGTTTGAGTCCACAGTGCTCTCTGCATGTAGGCGAACTGCAACTCCCAAACTCAAGGTCAGTGCCCACCAAACCCTTCCAAGTATATTCTGTTGGTCATGGGAGCTCTGTGTGCCAAGTTTGGTCCAATTCCATCATTGGTGGGGTCCAGGATGCTCTTTGATTGTAGGTGAACTATAAATCCCATCAACTACAACTCCCAAATGTCAAGGTCTATTTCCCCCGAACTCCACCGGTGTTCATATTTGGGCATATACTCAATCCATGCCAAATCTGGTCCAGATCCATCACTGATTGAGCCCACAGAGCTCCCTGGATATAGGTGAACTACAACTCCCAAACTCAAGGTCAATGACCACCAAACCCTTCCAAGTATATTCCGTTGGTCATGGGAGCTCTGTGTGCCAAGTTTGGTTCAATTCCATCATTGGTTGAGTCCAGAATACACTTTGATTGTAGCTGAACTATAAATCCCATCAACTACAACTCCCAAATGTCAAGGTCTCTTTCTCCCAAACTCCACCGGTGTTCATATTTGGGCATATACTCAATCCATGCCAAATGTGGTCCAGATCCATCATTGTTTGAGTCCACAGTGCTCTCTGGATGTAGGTGAACTACAACTCCCAAACTCAAGGTCAGTGCCTGCCAAACCCTTCCAAGTATATTCTGTTGGTCATGGGAGCTCTGTGTGCCAAGTTTGGTTCAATTCCATCAGTATGCCCACATTTGAATACCTGGTGGGTTTTGAGGAGAATTGGCCTGGACTTTTTGGAGTTGTAGGTACTGGGATTTATAGTTTTATGGTTCACCTGCAGTCAGTGAACACTCTGAACTCCCTCAAAGATGGAATTGGACCAAACTTGGCACACAGAGCCCCCATGACCAGCAAAAAATACTGGAGGTCGTTAGGGGACGTTCACCTTGATTTGGGGGAGTTGTAGTGGTACTGGGATTTATAGTTTTATAGGTCACCTGCAGTCAATGAACACTCTGAACTCCCACAAAGATGGAATTGGACCAAACTTGGCACACAGAGCCCTCAAGACCAGCAAAAAATACTGGAGGTCGTTAGGGGACGTTCACCTTGATTTGGGGGAGTTGTAGTTCACCTACATCCAGAGAGCACTGTGAACCCAAACACCGATGGATCTGGACCAAACTTGGCACACAGACCTGATATGTCAAAATGCGATTACTGGAGGGGTTTGAAGGGAAATGGCCTCCCTTTCTGGGAGCTGTAGTTCACCCAGTTCTGCCTGCACTGTTTGGGTGATTTGTGAGGCGAGAAGCTCTGATGAAGGAGTGTAGTTTACTGGGATGAAAGTGTATTAATTATATTAGAAGTGTATTTTAATTTACCTGTCCAGTCTCCCTTGAGTCCTTTTCCCACACTGACCGCTGTCCGTTTTCCTCCCTAGCCGTCAAATTTGGCCGGATGTCCAAGAAGCAACGGGACAGCCTCCATGCCGAAGTTCAGAAGCAACTACAGCAACAGCAACAAGGAGGAGAGGCTTCCTCCTACTCCTTGGGGGTGGCCAACGGTCAACTCAAGTTGGCCCCTTCGCCGGACCTCTTGGAGTCCTCCTCCTGCTCCGCGGCTCTCCTCAATGGCCAGGCCCGCCTCGGCCAGTCGCCGGATGAGGCGGCCACCTTGGCCTACTCCAACGGACTGACCAAAGCTCAGGGTCTCCTCGGGGAAGACCTCCGGACCCCCTTCACCAAGGGATACAGCCCCGAACGTATCAAGATGGAGGGCAGGGGGAGTGCCTACTACGCGCTGGAGGTCCAGACGTCGCCCGAGGTCTTGAACCCAGAGGTCACTGGGATGAAACGGACAGTGGGGAGTGACGTGGGGGACGGAAACCTCGACTTCTACACCACCCCGAACTTCACCAGCTTGTTGGAGTCGCCCAATTCGTCCCTGATGGAGATCGGTGAGTAGGAATAGTGGAGGAGTATATTTTGACAGGGCAATCATAGTTGTAGAGAGACCATCTTGTTGGGTGAGCGGGCTTATTAACAAAAGGCCCTCCCCATAACTTATTAGCAATGGCGTCACCCACCATCAGTAACCCAAAATGATAAAAAGAACAAAAAGAACACTGTGAGGCCTACCTCACACAGAGGCTTCTCTCACAGACTAAGACCCATATCACATTGTGAGGTCTTCTGTCACAGACAAAGGCCTGCCTCACACTGCGAGGCCTACCTCACAGGCTTCTCTCACAGACTAAGACCTGTCTCACACTGTGAGGCTTTCTCTCACAGATGAAGGCCTGTCTCACACTGTGAGGCCTTCTCCCACAGACTAAGGCCCATCTCACATTGTGAGGCCTTCTCTCACAGACTAAGGCCTGCCTCACACTGTGAGGCCTCTCACAGACTAAGGCCTATTTCATATTGTGAGGCCTTCTTTCACAGACTAAGGCCTGCCTCACACTGTGAGGCTTCCCTCAAAGACTAAGGCCTGCCTCACACTGTGAGGCCTACCTCACACAGAGGCTTCTCTCACAGACTAGGGCCAATATCACACTGTGAGGCCTTCTCTCACAGACTAAGGCCCATTTCATATTGTGAGGCCTTCTCTCACAGACTAAGACCTGCCTCACACTGTGAGACCTACCTCACAGACTAAAGCTTGCCTCACACTGTGAGGTCTACGTCACACAGAGGCTTCTCTCACTGACTAAGGTCTGTCTCACACTGTGAGGCCTTCTCTCACTGACTAAGGTTTGTCTCACACTGTGAGGCTTTCTCTCACAGACTAAGGCTTACCTCTCACTGACCCGCTGGCTCTTCTCCTTCCACAGAGCAGCTCACGCAAAACGTCCTCAAATCCTATCGGGAGACCTGCCAGCTACACTTGGAGGAACTCCATCTCCGGAGATGGCAGACCTTCACCAGGGAAGAAGTTGGGAGCTACCAGAAAAAGGTGAGGAAGTGTCCACAGCAAGACTTTGTGTGCCTTCAAAAGGTCTATCCTTCCTTGTGGTCATCTATGGGTTCTCCATGTTGTCGGAAGCGAGGTAGAAGCCTTCACGAGATGGAGCCTTCTTTGTGGTGGCACCGTATCACCAAACTACATTTCCACATCACCGTTAACCAATAGGGCTGTGCAGAACGTCGTATGTTGTTTGTATTTTGGATGTTCTGTACATCTGAAGCATTTTCGGAGCGCGAGTGGTGACCAGTCGAAAAACCAACAATTTCCCCTTTGCTGATGCAGTTTTAACCATTTACATTGATTGATCTTTAGAGTGTTTTGTGTTTTCTCCAATAAATAAAATTAAGCAGACTTGGCGGGGGAAGAGGGTTCAATTGGATTCGGAGCTGCCTGCCAAAAACCCATTAAGTAATGAGAAATGCTGGTGTTATGCGTCTGAAATTGCCGAGCGGTGACTCAGGCATTAATTCATACCGCCGGCTGGGAATGAATTGCTTTGGAGGAAAACAATCCCAAGCCCAGCTCGATGAGTCGCAAACGTTGAGTGTCCCTTATCTGGATTTCCAAAATTATCACCATGAATGGATGAGAGAGTGACATCTTTGCTTTTCTGATGGTCCACAACCTCTAGGTTTGAGCCTGCCACTTTTGGACTCTGGCTTGCTGAGGTGTTCCAGCAAGTGTCTCTGTAGATCTTAGAAAACTATTTCTTGATTTAAGTCTTTGGTGTGCTGGCTGAGACCCAAACAAGGGATGAGCTGGAGATGTCTCTGCCTTGGTCCTTTCACTATTGGCTGCTACTTCCCGGCAGATGTCAGGTGGTGCGATACCGGCTAAACAGTGTGTAGGGCGCAGACACCCCGTGATAATGCGGCATGTCTCATGAAGAGCCACATCCACTGTTTTAATGTGATGAAATGTATTTCACACTGGGCGTGCGTATTCAGCAGCAGAAAAACCAAGCGTAAGATCAGATGCCGTAATTGTGTCTAGTTGTGATCCCCAGGTTGTGCCACTCAGTTTTCATATGATCGTTTTCATGTGATAGCACCGGGACTGTGGTGCAGCTGGCTGGTAGTCAGCGGCATTAGATCACTATGGAAAGGTCATGAGTTCGAAAACAGCCCAGGTTGTAATTTCTCCAGTGGTGTAGGGCGCAGATACCCCGTGATAAGGCGGCATGTCTCATTAAGAGCCACATCCACTGTTTCAGTGTAGTGAGATGTATTCCACACTGGGGATGCGTACTCAGCAGCAGAGTACCATAGCGCAAGGGCAGATGTCTTCACTGTGTCTGGTTGTGATCCCCAGGTTGTGATATTGTTTCTAGCACCCACTCTTTGCTTGATATTCAGGCAGTGCTTCTTGTAGGTCAGAGCACGATCCAGAGTGACTCCCAGATACTTGGGTGCGCTGCAATGCTCCAGTGGGATTCCTTCCCAGGTAATAATCCTCAGAGCTCGGGATGCTTGTCTGTTCTTGAGATGAAAGGCACATGTTTGTGTTTTAGATGGATTAGGGATCAGCTGGTTTTCCCTGTAATAGGCAGTAAGAGCACCTAGAGCTTTGGAGAGCTTCTGTTCAACCATCTCAAAGTTCCTTGCTTGAGTGGTGATGGCACGATCATCAACATAGATGAAACTCTCTGTTCCTTCTGGCAGTGGCTGGTCATTTGTGTAGATGTTGAACATAGATGGAGCAAGCACGTTCCCCTGAGGCAGGCCGTTCTTCTGTTTCCGCCATCTGCTTCTCTGGCCCTGGAACTCAACAAAAAAGCTCCTGTTTTGTAGCAGGTTTCCTATGAGGCGGGTGAGGTGGTCATCCTTTGTGATATTCTACATTTTTCTCAGGAGGAGGCGGTGGTTCACAGTTTCATAAGCCGCTGACAGGTCTATGAAGACAGCTCCTGTGATCTGCTGCCTATGATCTATGTGCTGAGTCAGGTTCAGCACTTGCGATGTGCAGCTTCTGCCTTTCTATGGATATATGGCTATCAGTAGATGGCAGATCTTCTGTATCTCAAAAACTGGAGCTGATGGGGGGAAACTGCTGGCATTTTTGGAATTGGCAGATCAAATATACCCAGAAACAGATCTAACATTTGAATATTGGCCCATGTTATCGTCATAATATGTGAACAAGGTGTCTCTGGAACATCCATGAATTGCGTGTTGAGATATGATATCTCCAAGATATCTCATAATGAACGTATATCCAAACATGATCGTCCCTCCACATTTACAGATTTGATGATTCATGGATTTGATTGAGATGTTATCTCTAGAGATCCATATGCACTCATTGGAAGTCATGCTGGAGGACCTCAAGATGCCTACAAAGAACATCTCTCTGGGAACCTCTAGATCCTCCAATGCTGATGGGGGTAAACTGCTGGCATTTTTGGAATTGGCAGATCAAATATACCCAGAAACAGATCTAACATTTGGGTGTTGGTCAGTGTTATCGTCATAATATGCGAACAAGGTGTCTCTGGAACATCCATGAATTGCYTGTTGAGATARGAGTTCCATCTCCAAGATATCTCATAATGAATGTATATCCAAACATGGTCATCCCTCCACATTTYCAGATTTGATGATTCATGGATTGGATTGAGATGTTGTTTCTAGAGATCCCTGTGCACCCATTGAAAGTCATTCTGGAGGACCTCAAGATGCCTACAAAGAACATCTCTCTGGGAACCTCTAGGTCCTCCAATGCTGATGGGGGTAAACTGTTGGCATTTTTAGAATTGGCAGATCAAATATACCCAGAAACAGATCTAACATTTGAGTGTTGTTCAGTGATATCGTCATAATATGCGAACAAGGTGTCTCTAGAACATCCATGAATTGCGCGTTGAGATATGAGTCCCATCTCCAAGATATCTCATAATGAACGTATATCCAAACATGGTAGTCCCTCCACATTTACAGATTTGATGATTCATGGATTTGATTGAGATGTTGTTTCTAGAGATCCCTATGCCCCCCTTGGAAGTCATTCTGGAGGACCTCAAGATGCCTACAAAGAACATCTCTCTGGAAACCTCTAGGCCCTCCAATGCGATTCTGTATAGCGAAAGTTGCACTGGAGGACCTAGAAATTCCTAGAGAGGTATGGTTGTAGTATAACCATTAATCAGTATTGATATTTTCCCCCTCTTTCCCCTGACCAGCCCATGGAGGAGATGTGGGAGCGCTGCGCCTGCCGCGTCACAGAAGCCATCCAGTACGTTGTCGAGTTTGCCAAGCGCATGGCTGGCTTCATGGATCTGTGCCAAAACGACCAGATTGTGCTGCTCAAAGCAGGTGAGGACTTGGAGAATTAGGTCAGCTTCTGTCCCACAAAAGCCTCCTCAGATTAATCTCTATCTTTCCTTTTCTTCCTTTCCCCAGGTGCCATGGAAGTGGTTCTGGTGAGGATGTGCCGTGCCTTCAATTCTGAGAACCGGACCGTCTACTTTGAAGGGAAATATGCCGGACCGGAACTCTTCAAATCCCTTGGTATGAGAGTTGACGATCTGGGCAAACCCATAGCTATTTGTCACCTGAGGCCATAGGCAAAAGGACAGACCACTACCCTCCATTCCTCTACTGGTGGTCATGTTGGGGCTGAGAGAGTGCCTCGCCCACGGTCATCCAGTGGGTTTGCATGGCTGTCCAGGGATCTGAAGCCTTGTTTCTTGAAGCACGATGACTTCAAGTTGGTTCCAGGTTACAGCAAGATTCCTTTAGAAGAAGATTGCCACAAGGTTACCCAAGAAGACCAGGGATGGAGAACATGTCTCCATGAAGAAAGTATTGCTTGGGGACAGAGGATGGAGAACATACTCTCCATGAAGAATGTCCTCGTTTGACACCAGGGATGGAGACCATGATCTCCATGAAGAAAGGCCTAGTTTGAGACCAGGGATGGAGAACATGATCTCCATGAAGAAAGGCCTAGTTTGAGACCAGGGATGGAGAGCATATTCTCCATGAAGAATGTCCCAGTTTGAGACCAGGGATGGAGAACATAATCTCCATGAATAAAGTCCTGGTTTGAGACCAGGGATGGAGAACATGCTCTCCATGAAGAAAGTCCTGGGTTGAGACCAAGGATGGAGAACATGATCTCCGTGAAAAACGTCCTGGTTGGAGACAAGGGATAGAGAGCATGCTCTCCGTGAAGAAAGACCTGGTTGGAGACAGGGGATGGAGAACTTACTCTCCATGAAGAAAGCCCTGGATGGAGGCAAGGGATAGAGAACATGCTCTCCATGAAGAAAGACCTGGTTGGGGACAGGGGATGGAGAACATGCTCTCCATGAAGAAAGTCCTGGTTTGAGACCAGGGTTGGAGAGCATACTCTACATGAAGAAAGGCCTGGTTGGGGACAGGGGATGGAGAACATACTCCCCATGAAGAAAGTCCTGGTTTGAGACCAGGGTTGGAGAGCATACTCTCCATGAAGAAAGACGTGGTTGGGGACAGGTGGAGATCATACTCTCCATGAAGAATGTCCTGATTTAAGACCATCAATGAGTCTCCATGGAGAGGCATGGAGTCTCCATGGGTCTCCATGGATGGATAGGGGATTCAAGTTAGCATCTTAGTCCAACTCTTTAGCCCCTACACCTGAATTCTCTCCCGTTACTGGTTATCTTTTTATTTTGTTAATTTGGAGGACTAATTTTGGGACTGTTGTTTTCTTTTCCTCCCCAGGATGCAACGAACTCATCAACTCCATCTTTGACTTTGCCCACAGTCTGTGTTCCCTTCACTTCTCTGAGAATGAGATCGCCCTCTTCACGGCATTAGTACTTATTAATTCAAGTAAGGGGGACCTTTACGGCAGAGCTGAATGGGGGAAGGTGACCAAAAACATAACAACAGGAAGTGGTCCAAAAGTTTGACTTCCTTTTTGTCCTCCCTTGCAGATCGTCCCTGGTTGCAGGAGAAAAGCAAAGTGGAACGGCTGCAGAACAACTTGGAACTGGCCTTCAAGCACATGTTACGGAAGAACCACCGAGAAGGCATCTTGGCTAAGGTGGGGCAGGCCAAGGGTAGGAAAAGGAAGGGAAGGTCAATTCTGAAATTCAGTATGACCCCCATATCCACATGACCAGTACCCCTGGTTTCATTTACTCGCATCTGGCAAAATATGTCAAGGTGATTTCCAGGTGATTCTACGGTATGCTTCTGCTGGAGGTAGACCATAGAATTACGCTGGAAGATGTAGAAGAGACTGGAATGCTTTGCTCAGAAGAGGGTCCCCAGTTTGAGACCAGGGATGGAGAGCATACTCTCCATGAAGAATGTCCTAGATTGAGACCAGGGATGGAGAACATGATCTCCATGAAGATACCCCTGTTTGGAGACCAGGGATGGAGAACATGCTCTCCATGAAGAAAGTCTTGGTTTGAGAGCAGGGATGGAGAGCATGCTGTCCATGAAGAAAGTCCTGGTTTGAGAGCAGGGATGGAGAGCATGCTGTCCATGAAGAAAGTCCTGGTTTGAGAGCAGGGATGGAGAACATGCTCTCCATGAAGAAACCCCTGTTTGGAAACCAGGGATTGAGAACATACTCTCCATGAAGAACATCCTGGTTTGAGACCAGGGATGGAGAACATGCTCTCCATGAAGAAAGTTCTGGTTGGAGACCAGGTATGGAGAACATACTTTCCATGAAAGAAGTCCTGGTTTGAGAGAAGGGATGGAGATCATGCTTTCCATGAAGGAAGTCCTGGTTTGAGACCAGGTATGGCGAACATACTTTCCATGAAGGAATTCCTGGTTTGAGAGCAGGGATTGAGAGAATGCTTTCCACGAAGAACGTCCTGGTTTAAGACCATCGATGGAGGACATGCTTTCCATGAAGAAGGGCTTGGTTTGTGACCAGAATTGGAGGAAAGTGTGTTCTCCATCCCTGGTCTCATACCAGGTCCTTCATCATGGAAAACACATTCTACATCCCTATCATAAGCCAGGTCCTTCTTCATGGAATGTATGTTCTTCACCAGGATGCTCTTTGGGCAAAGTATGTTCTTCTTCCATAGTCTCAAAACAAGGACCTTCCTTGTGAAAAGCATGTTCTTAAAGAGGGTCCTCATTTGATACCTGGGATGGAGAACATGCTTTATCTGGAGAGGTTTCTGTAATTCCTACCCCTAATTATATGCAGCCAAAACACTTGCTCTCTTTTCTTCCCTCCCAACAGCTGCCTCCAAAAGGAAAACTCCGAAATCTCTGCTATCAGCACGTGGAGAAGCTACGCTCCTTCCGTCAGATGTTCCCCATCATCGTCCATGCTGTTTTCCCACCATTGTACAAAGAGCTCTTCAGCTCAGACTGTGACCCACTGCCAGGAACAGCTGGGGAATAATCCCCCTGACAACAAAGAAGGACACCTCGATGAGGTGAGGAAGGCGGCATCCAGACGTCTCCTCCTCAGTTTTTTCATGCCTTTTTCTGGGGACCACCCCGGAGTGGGAAGGCTGGAGAACATCAAGGTTGGTGAATATCAGAGTTGGAGAATATCAAGGTTTGGAAAATATAAAAGTTAGAGAACATCAATTTTGGAGACAATCAATGCTGGAGAACACCAGAGTTAGAGAATATCAATTTTGAAGGACATCAATGCTGGAGAACATCAAAGTTGGAGAACATCAAGGCTGGAGAACATCAAAGTTGGAGAACATCAAGGTTGGGGAATATCAAGGCTGGAGAACATCAAGGTTGGGGAATATCAAGGCTGAGGAACATCAATGTTGAAGAACATCAAGGTTAGAGAATATCAAGGCTGGAGAACATCAAGGTTGGGGAATATCAAGGCTGGAGAACATCAAGGTTGGGGAATATCAAGGCTGAGGAACATCAAAGTTGGAGAACATCGAAGTTGGAGAACATCAAGACACAATGAATCTCACCCTCAGAGAAGCAGAGCAAGGATGCCTGGGGAGATTTATATATATGATTGGATAATTATTTCTTTGATAGACAGCCATAAAACGTGTCACTTCCTCCCTAAAAAAGACGTATTGGACACATACGGTGCTCTCCTTCTCCGGCACCATTGAGTCTTCGAGTTAAGTGACCATGTACGATGTGCTTCAGGATTTCACTCGAAGGTTTGCCGTCATTACAGCATAAAAGTATTAATTGTACAGGAAGTTCTTGCGGGGACTTTGGTCCCGTCAGAGATATGCATGTGCTGCCCGCAATTTGAAACCGCAACCGGTCGGGTTGAAAATGGTGAATCCGGAAAAAAATACCTCATTTTTTTGCTGTCTAATGGAGACGAGACTCGATGGGTTTTTGTTTTTGTTTCCTTGAAGCGAAGTTTTTAAAGAAATAATATATATATATAGTGGACAAATGTGGTTCGATAAGATAGATCTCTATTTTTCAGTGTTTGTTTACTTCTGTGTCTGAGAACGAAGGAGTTGCTCGTATTTGTCTGTCCTCCTTTCCTTCCCCCCTCCCTCGGATATTTTTGTATGAGATTCCAAAAACCAGCAACTTTTTAAAAATCCTGTATCATTTAAGAAGAGGTGCATCTACACTGTAGAATTAACATAGTTTGACACCACTTTGACTGGCTTGGCTCAAGGCAAGTTGGAGTTTTAGCTGTCTCTGCCAAACTGCAAATCCCATGTAGCTTCTGCGTTGTAGTTCATGGGTTTCAGTTGAGGAACGGATAAATATATATTATAATATATTTGCATTTCTTTGTGGCTCGTTCCTTCCTTCCTTCCTTCCCCTCGTATACTTTCCCTCTGCCTCTTTTCTTCCATCCATTCTTTCTTCCCATTCTCTCTCTTCCCTTCTCTTTCCTTCTTTTTCTTTCTTTCTTCACTACTTTCTTTCCTTTCTTTCCCTTCCTTTCTTTTGTCTTCTTTCTCTTTCTTTCTTTCCTTTCTTTCTCTCATACTTTTACTTTTTTACATTCTCTCCATTCCTTCCTTTCCTCTTTTATCTTCCTTTCCTCTCCCTCCCTCCCTTCATTGCTTCCTTCCATTCTCCCTTCCTTCCCTCTCTCATTCCTTCCTTCCTCCCTCCCTCTCTTCCTTTCTCCCTTCCTTCCTTTCTCCTTTCTTTACTTCCTCCCTCCCTCCCTTTCTTTCTCCCTTCCTTCCTTTCTCCCTTTCTCCCTCCCTCCCTTTCTCCCTCCCTTCCTTTCTCCCACCCTCCATCCCTTCCTTTCTCCCTTCCTTACTTACTTCCTCCCTCTCTTTCTTTCTCCCTCCCTCCCTCCCTCCCTCCCTCCCTCCCTTCCTTCCTTCCTTCCTTCTTTCCTCCCTTTCTTCCTTACTTCCCTCTCTTCCTTTCTTTCTCCCTTCCTTCTTTCCTTTCTTTCTCCCTTTCCTTCCTCTCTCTTTCTCCCTTCTTTCTCCCTCCTTCTCTCTCCTTCCTTCTTTTCTCCCTCCCTCCCTCCCTCCCTCCCTCCCTTCTTACTTTCCCTTTCTTTCTCCCTCCTTCCTTCCTTTTCCTTTCTCTCCCTCCCTCCATCCCTTCCTTCCTTTCTCCCTTTCTCCCTCCCTTCCTTTCTCCCTCCCTCCCTTCCTTCCTCCCTCCCTCCCTCCATCCCTTCCTTTCTCTCTTCCTTCCTTTCTTCCTTACTTCCTTCTTCCCTCCCTTCCTTTCTTTCTCCCTTTCTCCCTCCCTCCCTTCCTTTCTCCCTTCCTTTCTCCCATCCTTCCTTTCTCTCCCTCCCTCCTCCTTCTCTCCCTTCCTTTCTCCTTTCCTTCCCTCCTCCTTCTTCCTTCCTCCCTTTCCCCCCTTCCTTTTCTCCCTCCCTTCCTTCCTCCTCCCTCCCTTCCTTCCTTTTCCTTCCTTCCTTCCTTCCTTCTTCTTCCTTCCCTTCCCTTCCTTCTTTCTCCCTTTTCATCCCTCCCTCCCTTCTCTTTCTCCCTTCCTTCTCCTTTCCTTCTCCCTCTCCCTCCTTCTCCCTTCTTTCTCCCTCTTCCTTTCTCCCCCTTCCTTACTTCCTTACTTTCTCCCTCCCTTCCTCTTCTTCTCCCTTCCTTCTTCCTTCCCCCTTTCCTCCCTCCCTCCCTTCCTTTCTTTCTCCCTCCCTCCCTCCCTTCCTTCCATCCTTCCTTTCTTCCCCTTTGTTTTCCCCTCATACCCCTGTCCCTTAGCAGTAGCCAATCCATTTCCCTTCCTTCCTTTCCCTCGCGACATCACAGAGGGCCACTTCACCTGGCAACAGGCAGTCCTTCGCGTAACCTCTGTTCTGGGTCTGAAAGCAGAACTTTTTAGTTCGAACCCCACCATTGTTTCAAGTGGGATCGTTTCAACGGAGACCCACCAAGCCATCGAAGTCAAACTGTTGTCGAACTGCATTAATTTTACGGTGCAGATGCACCCGAGAATTAAAGCATTATATAAAAACAATTGCAAAAAATATATATTTTTACCACTTTTTCTTTAATTAGCCAGACTCACGAGATGGTCCCATGTGAAATTGTTATAGTACACAAACACATGTTCATTGATATGAGATGCGGGAACATTTGTATATCATGCGCGGAAAAGTTAATGCCATTCTGTTGATATGAATCCTAATGGTGTAACCTTTGAGAAGGAAGCATCAGCCCAACTTATGTAAGAGGAAGGAAAGGTCGAGGGAAAAACAGATTGGTTTCCTCATTGGCCGTGCAAGCGTCATCGACGAACATCTTGAATTTCCGAATAGTGTTTGGCTTTGTTCCATGCCATGGCTCAATGTTGTGGAATAATGGGAGTTGTAGTTCACCTACCATCTTGATTAGCATTGAATAGCCTTGCAGCTTCAAGGCTTTCTGCCTGGAGGAATCCTTTGTTGGGAATCTCTAGTCATTTGGGAGTTGTAGTTGCTGGGATTTATAGTTCACATACAATCAAATTGCATTCTGAACTCCACCAATAATTGGAATTGAACCAAACTTGCCACACAGAACTCCCATGACCAATAGAAAATATTGGAAAGGTTTGGTGGGCATTGACCTTGAGTTTTGGAGTTGTAGTTCACCTATATCCAGAGAGCACAATGGACTCAAACAATGATGGATCTGGACTTGGCACGTATACTCGCTATGCCCCAGTGTGAACCCTGGTGGAGTTTGAGGAAAATAGAGCTTGACGTTTGGAAGTTGTAGTTGATGGGATTTATAGTTCACCTACAATCAAAGAGCATTTTAGACCCCATCAACTATACAATTGGGCCAAATTTCCCACACAGAACCCCTATGACCAACAGAAAATACTGTGTTTTCTGATGGTCTTTGGTGACCCCTCTGACACCCCCCGCGACCCCTCCAGGGGTCGCTACCCCCAGGTTGAGAACCGCTGATGCAAACGTTAAATCCAATGGAAACTAAAATGCATTTTAATAATTGAGTGAAATGCAGTTCTGTGCAAACTACTTGGGATTGTGACAGGTTGTAAAGGAAAGCACTCTGTGCATGCTCAGGTGGATCACCAAACTACAACTCCCAAGACTCAATAGAATTGAACTAGGGCAGCATTAAGTCTACATCGAAGATGCACCCTAAATTGCAGAATTGATGCTATTGGATGGTGCCAATGGGCGGAGCTTGATTTCATAGTTTGGGGCAGAGCTTAAATTTCATGAATCTAGGAGGAGCTTATTCTTGCAAATTGGGGTGGAGTTTGATTGAATCTTGTAAATTGGGGGTGGAGCTTGAATCTCGTAGATTGGGGCAGACTTGAATCTCGTAGATTGGGGCGCAGCTTCAATCTCATAAATTGGGGTGGAGCTTGAATCTCGTAGATTGGGGCGGAGCTTGAATCTTGTAGGTTGGGGTGGAGCTTGAATCTCGTAAATTGAGGGTGGAGTTTGAATCTCGTAGATTGGGGCGGAGCTTGAATCTCATAGATTGGGGTGGAGCTTGAATCTCATAGATTGAGGCGGAGCTTAATCTCGTAGATTGGGGGTGGAGCTTGAATCTCGTAGATTGGGACAGAGCTTAATCTCATTTGGGGTGGATCTCAAATCTTGTAGATTGTGGGTGGAGCTGGGAATCTTGCAAATTGGGGTGGAGCTTGACTCACAGCTCGGGAAAGGGGGTTAATCTCGTAAATAAGGGTGGAGCTTGAGTCTCATCGATTGTGGGTGGAGCTAGAATCTTGTGACTTGAGGCGGAGCTTGAATCTCGTCAATAAGGGGCGGAGCTTGATTCTCACAGCTTGGGGCGGGGCTTAATCTCGTAAATAAAGGATGGAGCTTGAATCTCATAGATTGTGGATGGAGCTGGAATCTTGTAAATTGGGGTGGAGCTTGAATCTCATCAATAAAGGGCGGAGTTTGAATCTCACGGCTTGGGGAGGGGCTTAATCTTGTAAATAAGGGGCGGAGCTTGAATCTCGTAGATTGTGGGCGGAGCTGGAGTTTTGTAAATTGGGGTGGAGCTTGAATCTCATCAATAAGGGGTGGAGCTTGAATCTCATAGATTGTGGGTGGAGCTGAAGTCTTGTAAATTGGGGTGGAGCTTGAATCTAGTCAATAAGGGGCAGAGCTTGACTCTCACAGCTTGGGGAGGGCCTTAATCTCGTAAATAAGTCGTGGAGCTTGAATCTCATAGATTGTGGGTGGAGCTTGAATCTCGTCAATAAGGGGTGGAGCTTGACTCTCACAGCTTGGGGAGGGGCTTAATCTCGTAAATAAGGGGCGGAGCTTGACTCTCACAGCTTGGGGAGGGGCTTAATCTTGTAAACAAGGGGCGGAGCTTGAATCTCGTGGATTGTGGGCGGAGCTGGAATTTTGTAAATTGGGGCGGATCTTGAATCTCGTCGATTTGTGGGCAGGGCTAAACAGAAATCTTGAAATTATGGGAGGAGCCAGGCAGGAAAACTGATACTTCGATTAGTTGTTTTTCTTGACGAATTGGAGCACTCAAATATTTTACGAATCTAGCAACAGTGGACATTGCATTTGCATAAAATAGCGAACCTAATAATTGATCAGATTTGCATATGTTGGATCTCATTTGCATAAAATAGCAAATCCAATAATTGATCAGAGTTTCCATTCGACATGTTGGATCTCTCGTAACTCCTCAGACTTGCTTTGTGTTGTATGTCAAGTGTGTGTTGTTGGTGTTTTCAGAAGCAGGGCCAGATCGTGTTGGACTCCAGTTCCCATCGTCCTGAGAATTGCAGCCCAATCCTATCTGGCAGGTACCAGAACTCCCGTTGTGTCATCATCTTTGTTTTGTTTTGTTTTCTGTCTTCTTCGTTGTTTTTTCGAAATCTGAATTATTTAAATAGATGGTTATTTTTTTTCTCCCGGTCATGTAAATATCTGTTTTGAAATGTTTCATTTTTGGGGGGCGAAAATAAGATGTTTAGAGCGGTTATTCTTCTACGAAAAAGTTTAAAGAGAGATAAACGTTTAGGTTACTTTGTAATTTAATTAAAATGACAGTGCATATCAAGTACCATGAATTGGTTTCGGTCTCCTTTTTGGACTCTTCGTGTTCCAGAAGCATTGCCTCCTGACATTTCGCCCACATCTATGGTTTTGTCATTTGGGAGTGGTAGTGACTGGGATTTATAGTTCGCCTATGATCAAAGAGCATTCTGAACTCCACCAACAATGGAATTGAACCAAACTTGGCACACAGAACCAACAGAAATTACTGGAAGGGTTTCGTTGACCTTTGGGAGTTGTAGTTCACCTACATCCAGAAAGCACTGTGGACTCAAACAGCGATGGACCAAACTTGGCACAGATACTCAATATGCCCAAATGTGAACACTGGTGGAGTTTGGGGAAAATCGACCTTGACATTTGGGAAATTGTAGTTGCTGGGATGTATAGTTCACCTACAGTCAGAGAGCACTGTGGACTCAAACAATGATGGACCAAACTTGGCACAGATACTCAATATGCCAAAATGTGAACACTGGTGGAGTTTGGAGAAAATAGACCTTGACATTTGGGAAATTGTAGTTGCTGGGATTTATAGTTCACCTACAATCAAGGAGGAATCTGAACTCCACCAACAATGGAATTGGACCAAACTTGGCACACAGAACTCTCATGACCAACAGAAAATACTGGAAGGGTTTGCTGGGCATTGACCCTGAGTTTTGGGAGTTGCAGTTCACCTACACTCAGAGAGCACTGTGGACTCAAACAATGATGGACCAAACTTCGCACAGATACTCAATATACCCAAATGTGAACACTGATGGAGTTTGGGGAAAATCGACCTTGACATTTGGGAAATTGTAGTTGCTGGGATGTATAGTTCACCTACAATCAGAGAGCACTGTGGACTCAAACAATGATGGACCAAACTTGGCACAGATACTCAATATGCCCAAATGTGAACACTGGTGGAGTTTGGAGGAAATAGACCTTGACATTTGGGAAATTGTACTTGCTGGGATTTATAGTTCACCTACAATCAAAGAGCATTCTGAACTCCACCAACAATGGAATTGAACCAAACTTGGCACACAGAACTCTCATGACCAACATAAAATACTGGAAGGGTTTGGTGGGCATTGACCTTGAGTTTGGGAGCTGTAGTTCACCCACATCCAGAGTGCACTGTGGACTCAAACAATGATGGATCTGGACCAAACTTGGCACGAATACTCAATACACCAAATGTGAACATTGGTGGAGTTTGGGGAAAATAGACCTTGACATTTGGGAAATTGTAGTTGCTGGGATGTATAGTTCACCTACAGTCAGAGAACATTTTAGACCCCACCAATGATAGAATTGGGTCAAACCTCTCACACAGAACTTCCATTCCTTGAAAGAACTTCCTGAGAGAGCCTCCCTCGAGCCTCACACTCTCTTCCTCACCCGCACATGCGCACCACGCTGCCATGTGCCGAGCACGCCTGTTCTCCCCTCCCCATATGTAATCTCAGAAACAGCCCTCCCCTTGGCTGAGATGCCAGCCAATCACAACGGAGGTGGGCTTTTGGTGGGAAGATTCACTTTCTGTTTCCAAAAAGGAGGAGAAGGGCAGGTGGAGAGATGTTCAGCCTTCTCTGCCAAGGGGGTTCCTAAGAACGTCAAGAATATATGTTTCCTGATGATCTTTCGTGACCCCTCTGAAACCCCTTCACAACCTTCCCCGGGGTCCCGACCCGCAGGTTGAGAAACGGTGCTCTAAAGCATCCTGTTTCTACAGACTTCTAAAAGTATACCGTTTCTAAAATGGAGTCTGAGTCTGAATAGTCCCAGAACTGGTCAACACCAAAGAAAAACACCTAGAGGACCAATAATTAAAAAGCATCTCCTTTGTTCTGAGAATCTGAGTCACTAAAGCATTCTGTTTCTACTAACTTTGAAAATGGAGTCTGAGTCTGAATAGTCCCAGAACTGGTCAACACCAAAGAAAATCACGTGGAGGACCAAAGGTTGGACACCATTGATTAAAAAGCATCTCGTCTGTGCTGAGAATCTAACAGTCACTAAAGCATTCTGTTTTTGCTAACTTCTAGAATGGAGTCTCAGTCTGAATAGTCCCAGATCTGGTCACATGGTCTGCAGCCACTCCCACAAAATAGAATTAAGGAGAACTGCACACCAGACATATATGTTTTCTGATTGTCTTTAGCAACCCTTCTGAAACCTCCTTGGGTCTCTAAAGCATTCTGTTTCTACTAACTTCTGAAATGGAGTCTCAGTCTGAATAGTCCCAGATCTGGTCACATGGTATGCAAACATTCCCACAACATATAGTTAAGGAGAACTGCACACCAGAAATATATGTTTTCCGATGGTCTTTAGCAACCCTTCTGAAACTCCCTTGGGTCTCTAAAGCATTCTGTTTCTACTAACGTCGCAAATGGAGTCTGAGTCTGAATAGTCCCAGATCTGGTCACATGGTCTGCAGCCACTCCCACACATAGAGTTAAGGAGAACTGCACAACGGAAATATATGTTTTCTGATGGTCTTTAGCAACCTTTCTGAAACCTCCTTGGGTCTCTAAAGCATTCTGTTTCTACTAACTGTTAAAATGGAGTCTGAGTCTGAATAGTCCCAGATCTGGTCATATGGTCTGCAGACACTCCCACAACATAGAGTTAAGGAGAACTGCACAACGGAAATATATGTTTTCTGATGGTCTTTAGCAACCCTTCTGAAACCCCCTTGGGTCTCTAAAGCATTCTGTTTCTACTAACTTCTAAAATGGAGTCTGAGTCTGAATAGTCCCAGATCTGGTCACATGGTCTGCAGACACTCCCACAACATGGAGTTAAGGAGAACTGCACACCAGAAATATATGTTTTCTGGTGGTCTTTAGCAACCCTTCTGAAACCTCCTTGGGTCTCTAAAGCATTCTGTTTCTACTAACTGCTAAAATGGAGTCTGAGTTTGAATAGTCCCAGATCTGGTCACATGGTCCGCAGACACTCCCACAACATATAGTTAAGGAGAACTGCACACCAGAAATACATGTTTTCTGATGGTCTTAGCAACCCTTCTGAAACCCCCTCAGGGTCCTGATCCCCAGGCTGAGAAATACTGTTCTGAATGTGGTGTTTGACACTTGGGAGTTGTAGTTTGGTGAGGTACTATTTTGCAGAGAAGGCGAAAGACGTTGCAGAAATACAAGATTTCGTCGCAGTTCGTGTGGTGCCAAACTGTATTCATTCAACAGTGTAGATACACCCTGAGATCACATTGTACCCCGGGGTCAGGGAGTCCAATTGGTCCGATTATAGCAGTCCTGCTGCCATCGTTACCCCGTCCATTGGCCGAAATCGCCGTCCCCTTTGGCCTCGATCCGCCGCATGCCCCGGAGCTCCCTTTGGGCGCCTACTGTTCGCTCCGTTTTCCTCTCGCCTGGCATTGCAATCACCATAAATTTGCTACTTGGCGGTGATGTGTACCCAACGAACGAAAGGCTGAGACAACAACTGAAGAAAAAAAAATAGAATATCAGAAACTCAGGCATGGAACATTCCCTTGGCAAAAGGACGTCCACGTGGCTGGCGGAATGAAAGACACACACGACAGAAAGAGAGAGCGAGACAGAGAGAGAGAGAGAAAGGACGACAAGGAGAGAGAAGCCCGGCACCAGAGCTCTTTGTCGCCCGAATCGGCTGGCAACGTCCGTCCTGCTTCTTGCAAATTCCAGGTAAGCGACTCAGACTCATTTCCTGTCCTAGGTAGAGGAACACTGTTGCTTTAGAGATCTCCGTTTTCTTATTTTTCGGTGGAGGAAAGTGTGATTTGAAGTTCTCCCTTTGGTTATGAGCCTTGCAAAATCATTGATCCTTTCTACAGGAAAGGGCCTTAGATTCACGGCATCGTGGACGGAGAGTAGGAGAAATGCCCCGAATGTCTGGTAGAAAAGCCATAGAAGGAGTGATGGTTTGACCTCTGGCTGCTTTGCACGATCCACTGGGATTGAATAGTTATCCAAACAAGCAGATCGGTAGCTCAGGGATGAAGAATTTGCATTGTCCAAAGAGTGTCCTGGTTGGAGACTGGGGATGGAGAATATATGCTCCATGAAGAAAGTCTTGGTTTGAGATCAGGGATGGAGAACATGCTCTCCATGAAGAAAGTCCTGGTTGGAGACCACGGATGGAGAACATGCTCTCCATGAAGAAAGTCCTGGTTGGAGACCAGGGATGGAGATTATATGCTCCATGAAAAAGGTCCTGGTTGAGGACCAGGGATGGAGAACATGCTCTCCATGAATAAAATCCTGGTTGGAGACCAGGGATGGAAAACATACGGTCAATGAAGTAAGTCCTGGTTGGAGACCAGGGATGGAGAGCATGCTCTCCACAAAGAAAGTCCTGGTTGGAGACCAGAAATGGAGAATGTACTCTTCATGAAGAAAGTCCTGGTTGGAGACTGGAGATGGAGAATATACGCTCCATGAAAAAAGTCCTGGTTTGAGACCAGGGATGAAGAACATGCTCTCCATGAAGAAACTCCTGGTTGGAGACCAGGGATGGAGAACATACTCTCCACAAAGAAAGTCCTGGTTGGAGACCAGGGATGGAGAACATGCTCTCCACAAAGAAAGTCCTGATTGGAGACCAGAGATGGAGAACATGCTCTCCATGAAGAAAGTCCAGGTTGGAGACTAGGAATGGAGAACATACTCTTCTTGAAGAAAGTCCTGGTTGGAGACTGGAGATGGAGAATATATGCTCCATGAAAAAAGTCCTGGTTTGAGACCAGGGATGGAGAACATTCTTCATGAAGTAAGTCCTGGTTGGAGACCAGGGATGGAGAGCATGCTCTCCACAAAGAAAGCCCTGGTTGGAGACCAGGGATGGAGAACATACTCTTCATAAAGAAAGTCCGGGTTGGAGACCAGGGATGGAGAGCATGCTCTCCACAAAGCAAGTCCTGGATGGAGGCCAGGGATGGAGAACATGCTCTCCACAAAGAAAGTCCTGGTTGGAGACTGGGGATGGAGAATATATGCTCCATGAAGAAAGTCCTGGTTTGAGACCAGGGATGGAGAACATATTCTTCATGTAGTAAGTCCTAATTGGAGACCAGGGATGGTGAGTATGCGCTCCATGAAAAAAGTCCTGGTTTGAGACCAGGGATGGAGAACATATTCTTCATGAAGTAAGTCCTGGTTGGAGACCAGGGATGGAGAACATGCTCTCCACAAAGAAAGTCCTGGTTGGAGACCGGGGATGGAGAACATACTCTCCATGAAGAAACCCCTGATTGGAGACCAGGGATGGAGAACATACTCTCCGTAAAGAAAGTCCTGGTTGGAGACCAGGGATGGAGAACATGCTCTCCACGAAGAAAGTCCTGGTTGGAGAACATGCTCTCCACAAAGAAAGTCCTGGTTGGAGACCAGGGATGGAGAACATACTCTCCATGAAGCAAGTCCTGGTTGGAGACCAGGGATGGAGAGCATACTCTCCACAAAGAAAGTCCTGGTTGGAGACCAGAGATGGAGAACATGCTCTCCACAAAGTCCTGGTTGGAGACCAGGGATGGAGAACATATTCTTCATGAAATAAGTCCTGGTTGGAGACCAGAGATGGAGAACATGCTCTCCACAAAGTCCTGGTTGGAGACCAGGGATGGAGAACATGTTCTCCATGAAGAAAGTCCTGGTTGGAGACTGGAGATGGAGAATGTATGCTCCATGAAAAAAGTCCTGGTTTGAGACCAGGGATGGAGAACATATTCTTCATGAAATAAGTCCTGGTTGGAGACCAGGGATGGAGAACATGCTCTCCACAAAGTCCTGGTTGGAGACCAGGGATGGAGAATAAATGCTCCATGAAGAAAGTCCTGGTTGGAGACTAGAGATTGAGACCTTTCTTTGCAGGAAGTGAGTCCTTGGCTCAGACCAGAACATACTCTTCACGAAGAAAGTCCTGGTTTGAGACCAGAAATGGAGAACATGTTCTCCGTGAAGAAAGTCCTGGTTTGAGACCAGGGATGGAGAACATACTCTAAGTCCTGGTTGGAGACCAGGGATGGAGAACATACTCTAAGTCCTGGTTGGAGACCAGGGCTGGAGAACATCCTCTCCTTGAAGAAGAGCTTGGTTTGTGACCAGCATGGTAGAAAAATGTGTTCTCCATTCCTGGTCTCAGACCAGGTCTTTCATCATGGAAAACATACTATACATCCCTATCAAAAACCAGGTCCTTCTTCATGGAAAGGATGCTCTCCATCCTTGCTCTTCTTCCATGAAGACGATCCTGTTTTGAGACCAGGGATGGAGGACATACTTTCCATGTAGAAGGTCCTGGTTTGAGACCAGGGAAGGGGGACATAGTTTCCATGTGGAAGGTCCTGGTTTGAGACCAAGGATATGGAGAACATGTTTTGTGTGGATAAGGTCCTCATTAGCCATTTTTCATTGATGGAACTCCTTGCCACAAGACTCCCTGAACTATGTCCTTGCTTAATGTTTCCTGCGGGATTTGTAGGGGATGGGATGTGTGCAAGGAATTGGAGATCCCCCCTCTCAGACGTGGTTTTCTTTTGCATCTCTCAAGACAGAGACTCACGGAGTCGTCCAGCTCAAGCCTAGGAGATACCCAAGCAACGTCCCACCAAAAGGTATTCCAGCTTCATTCATGTATTTTATTATTTTGGAACGGAGCGAATGCTTCAATGATTCTTCCGGCTGCTTTTGCCAAGCGCCAGGTTGCTTCCAATCTTCGTGGGAAGCTTTTCGTGACAGCGGGCAAGGCGGCATGTGTGGTGCCTCATTTCTTTTTTGCAAACGCGAGTATCTTATTGTTTTCCCGTCTTAAAGGAGACGTTCCGAGGAAAACAAACCTCCTTTCGACAAACCTAACGTCATACGAGATTTGGAAAAACATTGTTTTGGAAGTCTCTCCAGCCTTCGGGGCCTCCCAGCAAAAGCAAACAGTGCTTGATCCGTGACTTCTAGTTCACCCATTTTGGCCACTAAGGGCCAGGCCGCACGTCCCCAAGGGCACATTCGCACATGGTTGGCTCCTAAATTGGTGACATGTAATCCGGGCCGACAGCTTGCATGCTCCAATGCGCCACCGCAACCGACAACAACAAATCTAGATATAGATATACAGTTTGCAAACGTTTCAGTGTCACTTGCTTCTGTGTTGTAAATAATGGGATTCAGTTGAGGAATATATATAGGTGATCCCTTGTAGTCCGAGGATGATGGTCCTCCAAGTGTAGTATCCCGGTGGCGGGTCCATAGGTGTCTATGGAGCCCTATTCTTGTTCTGCATCTTCTCCCACAGTGAGGGCATCAGTTTCCAAGTGGAAGTCGGTCCCGGTCGGGGTTGGCTTGATGCACCTTCCTCTTGGCATGTTTCTCTCTTTCACCCTCCATTCGTGCCTCTTCAAATTCTGCAGCACTGCTGGTCACAGCTGACCTCCAGCTGGAGCGCTCAAGGCCAGGGCTTCCCAGTTCTCAGTGTCTATGCCAGAGTTTTTAAGGTTGGCTTTGAGCCCATCTTTAAATCTCTTTTCCTGCCCACCAACATTCTGTTTTCCTTTCTTGAGTTCGGAGTAGAGCAACTGCTTTGGGAGACGGTGGTCGGGCATCCGGACAACGTGGCCGGTCCAGCGGAGTTGATGGCGGAGGACCATCGCTTCGATGCTGGTGGTCTTTGCTTCTTCCAGCACGCTGACGTTTGTCCGCCTGTCTTCCCAAGAGATTTGCAGGATTTTGCAGAGGCAGTGCTGATGGAATCGTTCCAGGAGTTGCATGTGACGTCTGTAGACAGTCCACGTCTCACAGGCATATAGCAGGGTTGGGAGGACAATAGCTTTATAAACAAGCACCTTGGTATCCCTACGGATGTCCCGGTCCTCAAACACTCTCTGCTTCATTCGAAAAATGCTGCACTCGCAGAGCTCAGGCAGTGTTGTATTTTAGTGTTAATGTTGATATCTGTAGACAGTCCACATTTCGCAGGCATATAAGCAGGGTTGGGAGGACAATAGCTTTATAAACAAGCACCTTTGTATCCCTACGGATGTCCCAGTCCTCAAACTCTCTCTGCTTCATTCAGAAAAATGCTGCACTGACAGAGCTCAGGCGGTGTATTTCAATGTCAATGTTGACGTCTGTAGACAGTCCACGTTTCGCAGCCATATAGCAGGGTTGGGAGGGGAATAGCTTTATAAACAAGCACGTTGGTATCCCTATGGATGTCTTGGTCCTCAAACACTCTCTGCTTCATTTGGAAAAATGCTGCACTCGCAGAGCTCAGGCAGTGTTGTATTTCAGTGTCAATGTTGACGTCTGTAGACAGTCCACGTCTCGCAGGTGTATAGCAGGGTTGGGAGGACAATAGCTTTATAGACAAGCACCTTGGTATCCCTATGGGTGTCCCGGTCCTCAAACACTCTCTGCTTCATTCGGAAAAATGCTGCACTCACAGAGCTCAGGCGGTGTTGTATTTCAGTGTCAGTGTTGACATCTGTAGACAGTCCACATTTCGCAGGCATATAAGCAGGGTTGGGAGGACAATAGCTTTATAAACAAGCACCTTGGTATCCCTACGGATGTCCCGGTCCTCAAACACTCTCTGCTTCATTCGGGAAAATGCTGCACTCGCAGAGCTCAGGCGGTGTTGTATTTCGGTGTCAATGTTGACGTCTGTAGACAGTCCACGTTTTGCAGGCATATAGCAGGGTTGGGAGGACAATAGCTTTATAAACAAGCACCTTGGTATCCCTATGGATGTCCCGTCCTCAAACACTCTCTGCTTCATTCGGAAAAATGCTGCACTCACAGAGCTCAGGCGGTGTTGTATTTCAGTGTCAGTGTTGACATCTGTAGACAGTCCACATTTCGCAGGCATATAAGCAGGGTTGGGAGGACAATAGCTTTATAAACAAGCACCTTGGTCTCCCTACGGATGTCCCGGTCCTCAAACACTCTCTGCTTCATTTGGAAAAAAGCTGCACTTGCAGAGCTCAGGCAGTGTTGTATTTCAGTGTCAATGTTGATGTCTGTAGACAGTCCTCGTCTCGCAGACATATAAGCAGGGTTGGGAGGACAATAACTTTATAAACAAGCACCTTGGTATCTCTACAGATGTCCTGGTCCTCAGACACTCTCTGCTTCTTTCGGAAAAATGCTGCACTCACACAGCTCAGGCGGTGTTGTATTTCAGTGTCAATGTTGATGTCTGTACAGTCCACGTCTCACAGGCGTATAGCAGGGTTGGGAGGACAATAGCTTTATAAACAAGCACCTTGGTCTTCCTACGGATGTCCTGGTCCTCAAACACTCTCTGCTTCATTCGGAAAAAGGCTGCACTCGCAGAGCTCATATATGTATATGTATATATGTAATGTTAGTTTGTGGGAATAACATAATCCAAAAACCACTGGACGAATTGACACCAAATTTGGACACAAGGCACCTATCAGGCCAATGAGTGACCATCACTCATAAAAACACTGGAAAACACAGCAGGAGGGACTTAAAAAGCCAAAAAAACAAACAAAAAATACATTACAACGCATGCGCATAACCAGATAGATAGATAGATAGATAGATAGATAGATAGATAGATAGATAGATATAGATATAGATATAGATATACAAACACACATATATACATATACAGAAATATATACACACACATATACACATATATACACACAAAAACACATATACACAGACTGGGCCACAGCAACGCATGGCAGGGGATGGCTAGTATCTATATAAATAAAACTCTAATGTTCGTTTGTGGGATTAACAGAACTTAAAAACCACTGGACGAATTGACACCAAATCTGGACACAAGACACCTAACAATCCAATGTATGTTCTTTACTTAAAAAACATTGATTTATCATTTGGGAGTTGTAGTTGCTGGGATTTATCGTTCACCTACAGTCAAAGAGCATTCTGAACCTCACCAATGATGGAATTGAACCAAACTTGGCATACAGTTCTCCCATGACCTACAGAAAATACTGGAAGGGTTTGGTGGACATTGACCTTGAGTTTGGGAGTTGTAGTTCACCTACATCCAGAGAGCACTGTGGACTCAAACAATGATGGATCCGGACCAAACTCTATACAAATACTCAATATGCCCAAATGTGAACAGTGGTGGAGTTTGGGGGAAATAGAATCTTGACATTGTGGAGTCGTAGTTGCTGGGATTTATAGTTCACCTACAGTCACAGAGCATTCTGAACCCGACCAACGATAGAGTTGGGCCAAACCTCCCACACAGAACCCCCATGACCACCAGAGTGTGGTCATGGGACGGCTAGTGTGTGTGTGTGTGTGTGTGTGTTGGTTTGTGGGATTTACATAACTCAAAAACCACTGGATGAATTGACACCAAATTTGGACAACATACACCTAGCAAGCCAACGAGTGACCATCACGCACAAAAACACTGAAAAACAAAGCAGAAGAGACTTAAAAAACCAAAAAACAAAAAATACATTACAACGCATACGCACAACCACATATATATACGCAGACACACATATACACAAATATACACACACAAAACACATATACACAGACTGGGCCACAGCAACGCATGACAGGGGACGGCTAGTAATAAATATCTATATATATAAAAATGTGTTCGTTTTTTGTGACGTCTTAACTCAAAAACCGCTGGACGAATTGACACCAAATTTGGCCACAAGACACTTACTAACCCAAAAAGTGAACTGTTGGCATTAGCAGAGTGTCGCAGAAGCTCAGAATAATGGACTCTGGAGTCTCCGGTAAAAGCAGGTTTTCAGCTTTACTTTAGCAACTCAAAATAGACAACATACACCATCAGCGGACAGACGTGAAGAACACAAACCGAAAGAGATAGGAACTAATACAAACTGCAGCTGGAAGGAAGTTTATCTCTGGCACTCCCTAATCTTTCACAGAGCAAGAACTCAGGGTCACATTCTCACAAATGGTTACTTTGCTGTTTAACCCTTCTGTGTCAAAATACATCCTGGCAATACAATTCTGTTACAATCACAATCCTATCACATAAAATTACATTTAAACACACATCATACATGAATTACACACTGACATGAACATCACTAAAAAAAACCCCACAAAAACTGCAAAAACCCAAAAATAAAAAATGCGAAACCAGCACTTTCTCATTACTCTATTTTCCAGATCACCAGACTGAGCCACAGCAATGCCTGGCAGGGGACGGCTAGCATTTTATATACTACCTTGGGTGCCAGGCGTTGCCACAGCCAATCCTTCACCTGACCGCAGACAATCCACCTTGTTCCTTTTCTTTGTTCTGGGCCTGAAAGTGGAACTTTGTAGTTCAAACCCCACCATTATTTTAAGTGGGATCGTGATGGATTTGTGTGCCAAGTTTGGCCCAGATCCACCAAGCCATGGAGGAGCCTTCGTGGCACAAACCAACCAACCAACATGCAGTCATCTACATACACATATGCATAGAGATAGAAATAGATAGAGATCTAGATAGAGGTAGTAGTAGTGAAACAGACCGTGTTCCAATGTTATGGCTCACGGATTCATCTGGAACAGGAGCCCACCATAACCAAGGCTTTCGTGAGATTGGTTTGGCATCATTTAGTATTCCATCAGCAAACTTATTTCCTTTGCTATTCTCTCCAGCCAAGGACGATCGCATTAAGATAATTAAATGCGCCCGGCGAAAATGAAAGAGGCGAGCACAGCGTCTTTATCTTCTCCACGCTAAGCCACATCCTGCCCTACTGTTTGTGAATCTTGAGTCCTGGGATCAAATTCTGAAGACACAGAATGCAGATTGAGAGTGTGTCTAGAATAAAAAGATACTAGGCATGGGCAATCTAAAATTCTGGTGGTGAAAATTTCAGAACTCTAACAAAACTTTCAAAATGTCATTATAAATGGCAGTTCCTAATTGGTTCCATCATAAAAATCACCAATAATGAAATAATAATAAAATTTTGAAAGTTTTGTTAGAGTTCTGAAATTTTCACCACTAGCACTTTAGAAATACTTTAGAAGCAAAGCACCAGTTTTAGCGACACTTTAGAAGCAAAGTACCAGCGCCCCATAGTTTTGTAAGTACTGTAGAACTATTTAGAACCATGCCTAATCTAAAGTTCTGGTGGTGAAAATTTCAGAACTCTAACAAAACTTTCAAAATGTCATTATAAATGGCAGCTCCTAATTGGTTCCATCATAAAAAAAATCACCAATAATGAAATAATAAAATTTTGAAAGTTTTGTTAGAGTTCTGAAATTTTCACCACCAGAACTTTAGAAACACTTTAGACGCAAAGCACCAGTTTTAGCAACACTTTAGAAGCAAAGTACCAGTGCCCAATAGTTTTGTAAGTACTGTAGAACTATTTAGAACCATGTCTAACCATGCCTACTCTAAAGTTCTGCTGATGAAAATTTCAGAACTCTAACAAAACTTTCAAAATTTCCTTATAAATGGCATTTCCTAATTGGTTCCATCATAAAAAAATCTCCAATAATGAAATAATAATCAAATTTTGAATGTTTTGTTAGAGTTCTGAAATTTTCACCACTAGATCTATAGAAACACTTTAGAAGCAAAGCACCAGTTTTAGCAACACTTTAGAAGCAAAGTACCAGCGCCCCATAGTTTTGTAAGTAATGTAGAACCATTTAGAACCACGCCTAACCATGCCTAATTCATTATTGGTGATTTTTATGACAGAACCAATTAGGAACTGCCATTTATATCAACATTTTGAAAGTTTTGTTAGAGTTCTAAAAATTTTACCACCAGAACTTTAGCAACACTTTAGAAGCAAAGCACCAGTGCCCCCTAGTTTTATAAGTACTTTAGAACCATGTAGAACCATACTTAACCATGCCTAATAATAATGAAATTTTGAATGTTTTGTTAGAATTCTGAAATTTTCACCACCAGAACTTTAGCCACACTTTAGAAGCAAAAGCACCAGCACCCCATAGTTTTGTAAGTACTGTAGAATCATTTAGAGCCATACCTAACCATGCCTAATAGATAGATAGATAGTAGGCATGGTTCTAAAGTACTTACAAAGCTAGGAGGCGCTGGTGCTTTGCTTCTAAAGTGTTGCTAAAGTTCTGGTGGTAAAAATTTCAGAACGCTAACAAAACTTCCAAAATTTCATTATTATTTCATTATTGGTGATTTTTATGACAGAACCAGTTAGGAACTGCCATTTATAATGACATTTTGAATGTTTTGTTAGAGTTCTAAAATTTTTACCACCAGAACTTTAGCAACACTTTAGAAGCAAATCACCAGCACCCCCTAGTTTTGTAACTACTTTAGAACCATTTAGAACCATGCCTACCCATACCTTATATAGATAGATAGTAGGCATGGTTCTAAATGGCTCTAAAGTACTTACAAAACTAGGGGGCACTGGTGCTTTGCTTCTAAAGTGTTGCTAAAGTTCTGGTGGTGAATATTTCAGAACTCTAACAAAACTTTCAAAAATGTCATTATTATTTTATTATTGGCAATTTTTATGACAAAACCAATTAGGAACTGCCATTTATAAGGAAATTTTGAAGTTTTGTTAGAGTTCTGAAATTTTCACCACCAGAACTTGAGACGCAAAGCCATTTTAGAAGCTAAGCCATTTCACTTGCCGGATCTTGATGCTATGGAATCCTTGGAGTTGTACGAGGTTTCACCAGGTCTTTGGCTATTTCTGCCTGATAGTGCAAACTACAACTCCCAGGAGCCCATCGCATAGAGCCAGATTGCAGTCATTCCTCAGTGTAGATGCACCCAACTGCCCTCCAGCTCCAGCAAGAAGGACGAGAGTGAGAACCGCTCAATGTCGCAGAGCTTTCTTTGCAACATTGGCGTCTAGGAAAAAAAAGGAGACACAGTCCTTGGGCGTCTCGTCTGCTCCTCAGCTTCTGAATTCTCGTTCTTGTCCCTCCTTGCATTTTAATGCATCCTCTGGAGTGATGCCAAGGGGACACTTAGCTGAAATGGCGTCCTTTGGCTTTGGCCGGAGGACATCGGGCCAACACTGCATTGCCGCCGTCGAATCAATGCCATTTGGCACCGCTTGGACTGCCGTGACTCAAGGATACGGAATCCTGAGAGCTGTAGTTTTGCAAGGTCTTCTACCTACTCTGGTCAAAGTAGTTCTTATTCAAGTGGTCCCTGGTCAAGGGGTCCCTGCTCAAGTGGTCCCCGGTCAAAGTGGTTCCTGGTCAAAGTGGTCCCTGGTTAAGGTGGTCCCTGGTCAAAGTGGTCCCTAGTCAAAGTGGTCCCTGATCAAAGTGGTTCCTGGTCAAAGTGGTCCCTGGTCAAGGTGGCCCCTGGTCAAAGTGGTCCCTGGTCAAAGTGGTCCCTGGTTAAGGTGGTCCCTGGTCAAAGTGGTCCCTGGTCAAGGTGGTTCCTGGTCAAAGTGGTCCCTGGTCAAGGTGGTCCCTGGTCAAGTGGTCTCTATTCAAGTGGTCCCCGGTCAAGGTGGTCCCTGTTCAAGTGATCCTTGATCATAGTGGTCCCTGGTCAAGGTGGTCCCTGTTCAAGTGGTCCATGGTCAAGTGGTCACTGGCTAAGGTGGTCTCTGTTCAAGTGGTTCCTCATCAAGTGGTCCCTGTTCAAGTGGCCTCTCTTCAAGATGTCCCTGGTCAAGGTGGTCCCTGGTGAAACTGGTCCCTGTTCACGTGGTCCCTGGTCAAAGTGGTCTCTGGTCAAAGTGGTCCCTGGTTAAGGTGGTCCCTGGTTAATATGGTCCTTGGTCAAAGTGGTTCCTGGTCAAGTGGTCCCTGTTCAAGTGGTCTCTGTTCAAGTGGTCCCTGGTCAAGGTAGTCCCTGTTCAAGTAGTTCCTCATCAAGTGTTCCCTGTTCAAGGTGGTCCCTGGTGAAAGTGGTCCCAGTCAAAGTGGCCCCTGGTCAAAGTGGTCCCTGTGGGTTTGGTGTGGAGTTCAATGTGATCCCGGAGCGAAATGCCACTTTTGATCAGGATCTAATTATGTAAAATGGTGATTCACCGCTCGGTAAAGTCACACCTGAATTGTCCTGGAATGAATAGCAAGGGCGGAATCGAAGATCGGGTGAATGAGGAGAGGGTGGACTCCTCCTGCAAAGAGATAAATATCAATTGCATTTCTCTCTCTGGTGCAGCGCCCAAGAAAGTGGCCACTGAGGTACATGGCATCAGCATGAATCCCGAACGGAGGAGCCGGAGCTGACGGGACGCCTTCGTTTCGCAGTAAGTCTATTTTCACCAGGAACGTGAAACACAACAGCTAGACAGGACTAAGCCTGACTCTACAAATGAATGTAGTTTGACACTACTTCGAACTGCCATAGCTCTAGAATCCTGGAAGTTGTAGTTTGTTGAGGCACCAACCCTCTTGGGCAGGGAAGTTGTAAAACTACAGCTCCCATAATTCCATATAATTGAGCCATGATTGACACATGGATCAATTGTTCAAGCTGTCCTGTCAGAAAGCATGCAAGATGGCATCCTTGCCCATATCTCTTGATATATTTGGAAAATTACAAAACTTGTCAGTCCAGTTTCAGATATGTTTGAGATAATTCTCCGTGTGTGGTCTGAGGTCAGAAGTAGTATGTCACGTTCATGTGGCCCATTTATAACTTCTCAGGAACCATAGAGTAAAGGAAGCTGCATACTAGAACATACATACAGGAAACAGTAAGCAACAGGATCATAGATAAACATTACTAGAGACAGCTTGATGAAGGTTGTCATTTCCAACAATTTTGGTGGGTTGGTTGGTGGGTTGGTTGGTGGATTGGTTGGTGGGTTGGTTGGTGGATTGGTTGGTGGGTTGGTTGGGTAATTGGTGAGTTGGTTGGGTAATTGGTGGGTTGGTTGGGTAATTGGTGGGTTGGTTGGGTAATTGGCGGGTTGGTTGGGTAATTGGTGGGTTGGTTGGGTAATTGGTGGGATGGTTGGGTAATTGGTGGGATGGTTGGGTAATTGGCGGGTTGGTTGGGTAATTGGTGGGGTTGGATGGGTAATTGGTGGGTTGGTTGGGTAATTGGTGGGTTGGTTGGGTAATTGGTGGGTTGGTTGGGTAATTGGTGGGTTGGTTGGGTAATTGGTGGGTTGGTGGGGTAGTTGGTGGGTTGGTGGGGTAGTTGGTGGGTTGGTTGGGTAGTTGGTGGGTTGGTTGGGTAGTTGATGGGTTGGTTGGGTAATTGGTGGGTTATTTGGGTAATTGGTGGGTTATTTGGGTAATTAGTGAGTTGGTTAGGTAATTGTTCATGCTGTCCTTTCAGAAAGCAAGCAAGATGGCTGCCTTGTCCAATTATCCATTTTGATTGGTGATGATTGATTTGCTGATTGATTGTCCACGTTGTCCTCCAGGAAGCAAACAAGAGGTTGGCCTTGCTTGAGTCTCCATCTTGATTGGTGATGATTGGTTCATTGATTGATTGTCCATGCTGTCCTCCAGAAAGTAAGCAAGAAGTTGGCCTTGCTTGAGTCTCCATCTTGGTTGGTGATGATTGGTTCATTGATTGATTGTCCATGCTGTCCTCCAGAAAGCAAGCAAGGGGTTGGCCTTGCTTGAGTCTCCATCTTGGTTGGTGATGATTGGTTCATTGATTGATTGTCCATGCTGTCCTTCCAGAAAGCAAGCAAGAGGTTGGCCTTGCTTGAGTCTCCATCTTGGTTGGTGATGATTTGTTCATTGATTGATTGTCCATGCTGTCCTCCAGAAAGCAAGCAAGGGGTTGGCCTTGCTTGAGTCTCCATCTTGATGAGTGATAATTGGTTCTTTGATTGATTGTCCATGCTGTCCTTCCAGAAACCAAGGAAGATGTTAGCCTTGCTTGAGTCTCCATCTTGATGGGTAATGATTGGTCCGTTCTTTGTCTGAATCTCCATGTTGATTGTTGATGGGTTCATTGATTGATTGTTCATACTAACTTTTCAGAAAGCAAGCAAGATGGCAGCCAAGCCCTTACCTGATTCTCCATCTTGGATGAGCTGGAGGACCCTGCTGTTCCTCATCGCAGCAGCCTTCTTGGTGGGCTTCGGACAGAGCTGCCCATCCAAGTGTGTCTGTCCTGCCCATAACACCGCTGTCTTCTGCAACAGCCGGAATCTGACCACCGTTCCTGGAAGGATCCCTCCAGATTCTGAGTTCTTGGACCTGAGTCGCAACTCCCTCCACACCTTGAGGGAGGGCATGTTCTCCCGCCTCTGGGTCCTGAAGGAGCTGGACCTCAGCCACAACATGATCTCCAATATCGAAGAGCAGACCTTCAATTGCCTGCGGAACTTGATGACCCTCCGGTTGAAAGGGAACCGGTTGGACATGGTCCCGGAGGGTGTCTTCACAGGGCTACCCAACCTCTCCATCCTGGACATCAGCGAAAACCGGATCCTTGTTTTCCTGGACCACTCCTTCAGGGATCTCTCCAACCTCAGGAAGCTGGAGACAGGGGACAACCACCTGGTCTTCATCTCCAGCCAAGCATTCAGCGGCCTTTGGAGCCTCCAGCAGCTGACGCTGGAGAAATGCAATATCACTAGCGTCCCGACCGAGGCCCTCTCCCATCTCCGCCAACTTGTGGAGCTCCGGCTCAAAGTCTTGAATGTCACCGTCATCCCCAACTATGCTTTCCAAACACTGCATCACCTCAAGGATCTAGAAATCCATCGGTGGCCTTTCCTGACCTCACTGCAGTCCGAGAGTCTCTCCGGCCTGAACATCACCTCCTTGTCTATCACCAAGTGCAACCTACGTGACGTTCCTTACAAAGCCATCAAGCACTTGGCTCATCTCCGTTTCCTCGATCTCTCATACAACCCCATCTCTGTGATCCAAGGGAAGCGGCTGGTTGATCTGTCCCGTCTTCAGGAGTTCCACCTCACGGGTGGACAACTGGCCACCATACAGGCCCATGCCTTTCAGGGCCTGGTCCACTTTCGTCTCCTCAATGTCTCCAGCAATGACTTGCAGACCCTCGAGGAGAAGGTCTTCCACTCAGTGGGGAACCTAGAGGTCCTCCGATTAGACCGGAACCCCCTGGCTTGTGATTGCCGCCTCCTCTGGATCGTTCGGAGAAGGAGGAGGCTCAATTTTGAGTCCCGGCAGCCGATCTGTTCTACCAACTCCACCAGGAAAGGAAAGACCTTCCATAAAATCTCAGAGGTCCCACCCGGTCACTTCAGGTGTAGGAAGCCAAAGATTGTGGACAAGGCTCTCCAGAAAGTGAACGTTGAGGAAGGTGGCCAAGCCAACTTGACTTGCAAAAGCGAGGGAGATCCACCTCCTGTGGTTTCGTGGGTCTCCCCTCAAAACGTGACATTGGACATTGGCCGCAGAGGCCGGATGCTGGTCCTTCCTGATGGTTCCTTGAAGATCCATTATGCCTTGCTTGGAGACAGTGGGTCGTACCACTGCATCGCCAGCAACGCTGCAGGCATCGACATGATGGAGGCCTACCTCCATGTCTCTATACCTCTTTTCAACAACTCTGCATTCGCAAACAACGCCAGCTTACTCAGCGATCCGGGCAACCAGCTCCCCTTCCTGGTGGACCTCGGGACCTTGGTGGGCATCTTGGTCATTGGGGTGGTACCCTTCCTGTGCTCAGTCATGATTTGCTTCATCTTTATCTTTCTCTGGAGTAAAGGCAGAGGGAACGCCAAGCACCACGTGATTGAATCGGTGCCCCGTTTCCCCCGTGGGTACAAGGCCATCACTAACAAAAACAGAACCCCAACTAAAAAACCCAGATGAGATGAGTCCTTGGCTTCCTTCTCCTTGCAGTTTTGGGACGGTGAGATGTCTTCTTAGGCCTCGATCCAATCGTTAGTCCTAACTAGCGTACACCCATTTGGTCCACTCTAGTTGGAATTACGGAATTGGTGGGCCTAACTCTGCATAAGCATTGATTTACCATTGTAGTTGGGATGGACTACAGAATTAGTGAGTCAACTTTATTTGAGACTATGGATTCAGTGGATCTAACTCTACATAAGATTTGACTTATCATGTTCCATTGATTCAGTTACTCTAACTGGGATTTACTATGGGTTAGATGAGTCTACTTGAGAGTGTGGAGTCAATGAGTCTAACTAAACATATGAGTTGACTTTCTAATCCTTGATTCTACTCTAATTGGGACTTACTACTGAATTAATGGGTTTGCTGTAGACAATCAACTATTTGAGTCCAACGCAACCTAAGAGTTGACTTATCATGTTCCCATTAATTCTATTGCTCTAATTAGGATATACTATTGAATTGATGGGGCCTCGGTGTGTCCAACTCAACCTAAGAGTTGACTTATCATGTCCCCATTGATTCAGTTACTCTAACTGGGATTTATTGTTGAATTGGCGGTATCTACTATAGTTAAGACTTTGGATTATTAGGGTCCAAGTCTACCTAAGAGTTGACTTATTGTGTCCCCATTGATTCAGTTACTCTAAGTGGGATTTACTATTGAATTGGTGGTGTCTACTATAGTTGAGTCTTTGGCCTCGATGCGTCCACCTCAACCTAAGAGTTGACTTTTCATGTCCTCAATAATTCAGTTACTCTAACTGGGATTTACTATTGAATTGGTGGGGTCTACTATAGTTGAATCTTTGGCCTCGATGCGTCCATCTCAACCCAAGAGTTGACTTATCATGTCCTCAATAATTCAGTTACTCTATCTGGGATTTACTATTGAATTAGTGGGGTCTACTTTAGTTGAGTCTATGGTCTTTATGCGTCCAGTTCAACCTAAGAGTTGACTTATCATGTTCCCATTGATTCAGTTACTCTAACTAGGATTTACTATTGAATAGGTAGGGTCTACTATAATTAGGACTATCAACTATTAGGGTCCAACTAAACCTAAGACTTGACTTATCGTGTCCCCATTGGTTCGGTTACTCTAACTGGGATTTACTATTGACTTGGTGGGGTCTACTACAGTTAGGACTATCAACCATTAGGGTCCAACTCAACCCAAGAGTTGATTTAATGTGTTCCCATTGATTCAGTTACTCTAACTGGGATTTACTATTGAATTGATAGGGTCTACTATAATTAAGACTATCAACTCCTAGGGGCCAACTCAACCTAGGAGTTGGCTTACCGAGTCCCTGTTGATTCAGTTACGCTAACTGGATTTACTATTGAATTGGTGGGGTCTACTATAGTTAAGACTATCAACTATTATGGTCCAACTTAACCTACAAGTTGATTTATCATGTTCCCATTGATTCAGTTACTCTAATTGGAATTTACTATTGAATAGGTGGGGTCTACTATAATTAGGACTATCAACTATTAGGGTCCAACTCAACCTACGAGTTGACTTATCATGTTCCCATTGATTCAGTTACTCTAACTGAATTATTGGTGGGTCTACTATAATTAAGACTATCAACTACTAGGGGCCAACTCAACCTAAGAGTTGACTTATCGTGCCCACATTGATTCAGTTACTCTAACTGGGATTTACTATTGAATTTATGGGGTCTACTATAGTTAGGACTATCAAGTATTAGGGCCCAACTCAGCCTAAGAGTTGACTTATCATGTTCCCATTGATTCAGTTACTCTAACTGGTATTTACTATTGAATTGGTGGGGTCTACTATAGTTAGGACTATCAACTATTAGGGTCCAACTCAACCTTATCGTGTCCCCATTGATTCAGTTACTCTCAATGGGATTTACTATTGAATTGGTGGGGTCTACTTTAATTAAGTCTATGATGCGTCCAACTCAATCTAAGACATGACTTACCATCTCCCCATTGATTCAATGATTTTGCTCTTAATTGGGACTTATTTCCTGAATCAATGGGTCTACTTTAGTTGGGACTATCGACTAAATGGGATCTAACTCAACCTAAGAGCTATCTTGTTCCCATTGATTCAGTTACTCTAATTGGTATTTACTACTTAATCGATGGGTCTACTTTAGCTCAGACTATGGGCACAATAGGCCTAACTCAACATGGATTCAACAATTGGGACTATCTACTGAATCAATGCGTCTACATCAGAGCTGACCAAGAAAGGTCCCATTGATAGGACATGTCAACTGCGCAATTGAATGAATGGGCCTCTTGTAGTTGGGACCATGGAGTCAATGGGTCTTACCTGGTTTACCTGGTTGTTCCAATTCAGATGTGTATATGGTTATTTTTGGATTAAAACAAAAATTGGTGAAACAGTGTGTGTATGTGTAGTATATGGATATTTTCCTATTAATTCCCTGTTATTTCCGGTTACAGATAGAGCATCAGAAGATATAAAGTGGATTATTATTATTATTATTATTATTATTATTATTGTTGTTGTTGTTGTTTTTACTCCCTCCATTCTCAGGTCTAATCTAGTTTCCTGGGAGATATAAAGTGGAATATTATTATTAATATTATTGTTGTTGTTGTTTTTACTCCCTCCATTCTCAGGTCTAATCTAGTTTCCTGGGAGATATAAAGTAGATTATTATTATTATTATTATTATTATTATTATTATTATTATTATTAGAATATATAGATTTTAGGGTGAAGCAAGGATCCAAATTGATGTTAGTGGCCTCTATATAACAGTCTTCCCCTCACTTATATTGGACTCTAATGCCCATAAACCCCGCCATTTTGGACTCTAATGCCCATAATCCCCCCCCCCAAATGCTGCCTCGGAATGATGGGCACTGCAGTCTCCTTAATGAGCGAGACCACCATCGAAGAGATCTTTGAGGCACTCTCAAGAAATAGTGCTGTTTGGGGGGACTACAACTCCCAGAATCACCTGGACTTCAAGGTCTTCTCACAGATTCTGTGAGAATATCTAGTTTGTCTGTTTTCACTCCCTCCATTCTCAGGTCTAATCTAGTTTCCTGGGAGATATAAAGTGGAATATTATTATTATTATTATTATTATTATTATTATTAGAATATATGGATTTTAGGGAGATCTTTGAGACATTGTCAAGAAATAGTGCTGTTTGGGGGGACTACAACTCCCAGAATCCCCAGCAATAGCATTCTGGGAGTTGTAGTCTCTCTGCCAAAAAGTGATCCAACCGCAGAAAGGAATGAGAAGGAGAGGCAGAGCCAAGGGCGGAAAGGTGTGGTCGTTTCAGCCGAAAACACAATTTTCTGCTCCAAAAGGCTTCTGGGTTACAATCTTGCACATGTACAAACACACCGTCTCCCACATCGATAATTTTTAAGGTGAAATGTTTACAAATTCTCTCAACAAAACTTGCCATAGAATAAAATAATGCTAGTGTTGGAAGGGGTGCCTTGAGGTCATCTAGTCCAAGCACAGCTCAATGCAGGATCTCCATTTTCTTGTGTCAATAACAACAACACATTTATGTGCTACTTGCCTCTCCTTATGGCTCGGGGCCAGATACATCATGGGAAACTTGAATCATGAACTTGCGAGCAGAGGCAGGAAAACCATCCTTTAGCAACGTTGTCTCTTCTAATAGGGTTGAAGCTTCTTAAATACTTAATTTAAGCCCGTCCGGGTACCCATGACATCATGCCGAACGCACCTGGACTTCATGGCCCGCTCACGGATTCTGTGAGAATATCTAGTTTGTCTGTTTTTACTCCCTCCATTCTCAGGCCTAATCTAGTTTCCTGGGAAAACTCCCCATCAGCCCCAAAACTTTGACTTTCCCCTGTTTCTTGGGAACCAGCACTGGAATCCAAAACATTGCTTTCCTCTGCCTCGGCCTCATCTGCCTGCAATTCTTTCTGATCTTGATGCTGTCCACAGGGACACCACACTCCGCAGCTGCTGTAGCTGCTCCTATTCTGAATGAATGTCCCCCAAACTCACCCTGTGGAAGTCCCAGCTCTTTGAGTGACCTACGGAAGATAGCCATGAACTGATACCTCGTGAAGGGGCTCCCATCCCAGTGTACAAACAGCAGGCCTGGGGTGGTGCCACGTATCCCCAGGAACTTGGTGAGGGTCCAAACTGGGCATAGTTGCCCTGCCTGCAGAGGCGGCTCTAGGTAATTTTCAATGGTAAGCAAACAGTATTTTGGTGCCCCCCCCCCAAAACCAATCACTGATATATATTTTCTGTTAGTCGTGGGAGTTCTGTGTGCCATATTTGGTTCAATTCCATCATTGGTGGAGTTCAGAATGCTCTTTGATTGTAGGTGAACTATACATCCCAGTAACTACAACTCACATATGTCAAGGTCTGTTTTCCCCCAAGAGCGCCTCAAGAGCGCCCCTGAGCAAAATCAACTATACTGCAAATGCTTACTTTGCGTAATGGTTGAGCCGCCCCTGCTCCAACCCCACCAGTATTCAGAGGTCAAAGACAGACCGGGGGGGGGGGGGAGGGGCCTTCCTAGCCATCAAGGGATTTCAGGCAGGCAGGGGCGGCTCGTCCATTACGCGAAGTAAGCGGTCGCAGAACACTTTTTTTGCCAGGGGCGCAGAGGCGCCTCTGTAAATGCCCCTCGACTGCCACTTGAGGAGCGCCCCCTCAGCTCACAACAGCCCTAGCAGTCCGGGGGGAGCTTCGGCTTTCTTGCCTTGCTGCCGAGCGATCCTCTTCCCAAAGGGGCCGGGCCCTTGAGCCTCGCCTAGCCCCTCTCGTTCCTGCTCCACTCGGCCACTGGGTGCATGAGCAGAGCCGGCGCTCAATCATTCTCCGCGTTCGATCCCTTCCCCATGACCGGCTCCCTTTCCTGATCCCCCGGCGCTCCACCCACCTCCTCTCCTCTCCTCTCCCCAATCCGCGCGTGGGCCAAGGGGCGGAGCCGCCACGCCTGGCCCACTTCGGGTCCGGAGGCGTGTCTGAAGACCCCAGCGTGCGCACCAAAAGTCGCCTCTTCTCCTGACTTTCTCTTCAGCCATTGGGACCAAGAGAGAGAGAGAGAGAGAGAGCCCCTCCGGCTGGAGGTATCTCCCACCTCCGCTCCCTCCTTTGTTTTTGCACCTACCTTCAGGAAAGGTGGGCATCTCCACCTCTCTCTCTCTCTCTCTCTCTCGGTCCCAATGGCTGAGGAGAAAGTCAGGAGAAGAGGTGACTTTTGTGCACACGCCGGGGTCTTCAGGCACACCTCCGGACCCAAAGCAGGCCAGGCAAGGGAGCAAGTGCGGCAAGTGTACTTACTGGGATGTATAGTTCACCTACAATCAAAGAGCATTCTGAACTCCACCAATGATGGAATTGAACCAAATATGGCACACAGAACTCCCACGACGAACAGAAAATATATATCAATGATTGGTTGGGTGGGGGCGCCAAAATACTGTTTGCTTACCGTTGAAAATTACCTAGGGCCACCTCTGAGTAGGTGTAAAGGGTTCATGGAGGTTGTTGTTCTCGATCTCTGGTTGTGCTGAAAAAGTGATATTAAAGGCCCCCGGGCACAGGGCGAGGCTGGCCCGTGGCCAATGCCAGGTGCTGGGTGGGGCCGGCCACTGATTGGCCAACTGACTGTTTGGTGGAAAAACTTCCTGCCATGCAGGGGCTTCTTGGTAGGAGAACATGGTGCCCCCCACCGCAACAGGCCTTGCTCGGTAAGTCGGACAATGAATTAATACAACATTACCATATATATTAGGCCTGTGCGGTTTCGTTCGTTAATTTCATAATTCGTTAAACATTCGTTAATTTTTGCATTTACGAAACGATATCAAAATTATTTCCAAACACGGAAGTGTATTTTAAATATCGAAACAGCATGCACCAAATATTCTCGTATTTCCGTGCATTTCGGAAATACGTAAGATGGCGATGCTTGCTGCTCCTCCTCCTCCCATCCTCCTCCTTCTCCGCCTTCCGTTCCTCCCCCCCCCCAATCGGAAGGCCCCATGACCAGGGAGACTGGTGGGGTGGTGGCCAGCTGAGCTGTCCCCGCCCCTGGCTTGGTGGCTCCCTGTCAAGCCTGGAGTGACGGGGGGGCGCCGGCAGTGGAAGGGGCCATCCACAGGGGCGGGGCAAGAGCAGCAGGCTCTCTTCATCCCTTCCTTCCTCCAATCCTCCGACCCTTTCTCCTCCTCCTCCTCAGGCCGCGCCGCTCGGAGATGCCGAGGGCGAGGGGGAGGAAGAGGAGGAGGAGCAGCAGGCTGCGCCGCTCGGTGGGGGCGGGGAGGAAGAGGGACCCTGCTGCTGCTGCTGCTGCTGCAGGCAGGTGTGTGTGTGTGTGTGTGTGTGTGTGTGTGTCAAGGGAACTCCGGGCTGGCCACACACTCTTTCAAGGCAGGGGCCCTGCGAGGGAGGGCGAGGGGGAGGAAGAGGAGGAGGAGCAGCAGGCTGCGCCGCTCGGTGGGGGCGGGGAGGAAGAGCAGCCGGGGGCGACCTCTCCCGCCGACCTCCTCACTCCACTCCCAGCCACCCACTCCCCGTGAGTATATGAAAATATATATATTATATATATATAAAAATATATTAAAAATATTGAAAAAATATTGAAAAAAAGGGTGCCATGTTTACAAAACGTTTTTGTAAATATTTACGAAATTTCGTAAATACCGAAACTTTTTTTGGGGAAAATTTTGTAATTACAGTATATTCTGGCGTATAAGACTACTTTTTAACCCAAGAAAATCTTCTCAAAAGTCAGGGGTCGTCTTATACACGGGTGTAGTCTTATGCATGGGAGTCGTCTTAACTCTATATTTTAACTGGAAAAGTTGGGGGTCGTCTTATACGCCCAGTCGTCTTATATGCTGGAATATACGGTATTTTAAATATCGAAACAAAAAAACACCCCAATTACAAATCGATTTTAGAACCAAATTTTTTCTTGATCAACCAGGCCTAATATATATATATATATATATATATATATATATATATATATATATCCAAATGTAATGTTCCGAAGAGGCCACAAGAGAGCGCCCTTCCACAACCCTATTTCTGGGAAGCCTGTTTGCTGCAGTAGCTGTTGGCCAAGTGAGAGAGACAGAGACAAAACCATCTGTATACCTGCAAAATAAAATAAAATAAAATAGAAGATCGACCCGAGCTGCATCGTGGAGGAACCCATTGGGTAAAGTATTCTCTTCTTTCTCTAACAGATTGCTTGGTTTTCTTTCGGTGACTAGGATTTGCTCAGCGGCCCTCGACTAAAAAGACTTGCCTGCATGGATCCTCACTGACTCCAGTGACAAAATTCTGCAGTCAGGTGTCTGCAAGCTTTTGGAGGAGACAAGCCAGGAATATTATACTGAGTTCTTGTGGGGTTTTTCGGGCTATATGGCCATGTTCTAGAGGCATTTTCTCCTGACGTTTCGCCTGCATCTATGGCAAGCATCCTCAGAGGTGCTTGCCATAGATGCAGGCAAAACGTGAGGAGAAATGCCTTGAGAACATGGCCATATAGCCCGAAAAAACCCACAAGAACTTAGTGATTGCAGCCATGAAAGCCTTCAACAATACATATTATACTGAGTCCTTTCGGGGAGATAGGAATACAAATAAATTATTATTATTATTATTATTATTATTATTATTATTATTATTACATCCAACAGACCTCACTACCTCTGAGGATGCTTGCCATAGATGCAGGCGAAACGTCAGGAGAAAATGCCTCTAGAACATGGCCATATAGCCCGAAAAAACCCACAAGAACTCAGTATAATATTCCTGGCTTGTCTCCTCCAAAACCTACAACAACCCAGTGATTCCAGCCATGAAAGACTTCGACAATATTATTATTATTATTATTATTATTATTATTATTATTATTATTTTATACTATTTTATATTATTATTGTTAGATACATAACAAGATTAGGTAAAGGTAGTCCCCTGACATTAAGTCCAGTCATGTCTGACTCTGGGGGTTGGTGCTCATCTCCATTTCTAAGCCGAAGAGCCGGCGTTGTCCGTAGACACCTCCAAGGTCATGTGGCCGGCATGACTGCGTGGAGCGCTGTTACCTTCCTGCTGGAGCGGTACCTATTGATCTACTCACATTTTGCATGTTTTCGAACTGCTAGGTTGGCAGAATTAGATTAGTAAACAGCAAACAAGATCACTATTATTATTATTATTATTATTATTATTATTATTATTATTTTATATTGTATTATTATTTTATATTATTTTATATTATTATTTTATATTATATTATAATATTATATTATTTTATATTATTATTATTTGATACATAACAAGATCAAATATTTTATATCATTTTATATTATTATTTTATATTATTTTATATTATTTTATATTATTATTTGATGCATAACAAGATTAGTAAAGAGCAAACAACATC